TTTAGAAGATGTTGTTGTATTAACCATTTTGATGAAGGATTATTATGACTATGATATTTATTTTAAGAATTATTTAGCTAATTAGTCATCTAGCTATCAATTTGCAACTGCATGTCAGCACAGGTTAAGATAATTTTTAGAGGTTGACATACTTGCAAATTTACTTTTAGCCAGTAAAATGTCTGTTAGATTTTCATTCAGCTGTCAGAGGTACAGCTTGTCACCCTAGGATACCTTTTCTTTTTTCATTTTCGGACAATTTGTCATTTAGAGTTATGAACATGCTTGCAAAGGTTTGACTATCTGTTTTGTTGTGGAATGTCAGTAAAAAATGTTATGAGTGTCAATTTCAAAAGCAGCCCAAAATTCATTTTGTTGTGTCAAGATAATGAGGTTCATTAATGGTACATTGGTACATTATTTGTACATATTGGCAGATGCTTATATCCCAAAAGGTAAGTTTGTAATAGTCCAAAATGTTTTACAGTAAACTATTTTACCTGATTTATTTGTTTTTATTAATTAATTTTGTTTTCATTGGAGGTTTTTGTTGAATTGCACTGAATCAAATTAGAGTTAATCTGACCTCAACATAAAATTGTACCCAGAATTCAACCATAATCTTGGGAATACGGAGCAGTTGGAAAGTTTCTGAAAATTAACAGAATACCTAAATGGGACCATCAAATTCAAGTGTTAATTTATATATTATATTATATTATATTATATTATATTATATTATATTATATTATATTATATTATATTATATTAAATTATATTATATTATATTATATTATATTATATTATACACACCACCTATTTGTCTTGGGAATGACAGATAAATCCTGCATAGTGGCCAGATGGATTTTGAGCCATTCTTTTTGCAGAAAAGTGGCCATGTCATTATGTGGTGTTGGTGGAGGAAAACGTTTCCTGACTTGTTCTTCCAAATCACACCAAAGTGGCTCAATAATATTTATGTCTGGTGACTGTGCAGGCCATGCGACACTTCACTTTCATGTTCATTGAACCACTTTGTTACCAGTTTTGCTGTGTGTATCGGTGCATGATCATCCTGATACACAGCACTGTCTTCAGTACACAATGTTTAAACTTTGTGTGACATGGTCTTCTAGAATGGTTCTGTAGTCCATGGCAGTGATGTGGTTGTCTAACACAACTATTGGGCTTGGGGAATGCCATGATATTGCAGTCCAAACCATCATTCATCCACCCTATGCTTCATGCTAGGCATGCAACAGTCTGGGCTTTTCCACTTTGTGATGTTCGAAAGACAGTGAAGGTAGACATATCAGAGAACACTTTATGTTTTACATTGTACACAGCCCAAATATTTTGCTGCTAGCACCATTGAAACTGACGTTTGGCATTGGCACAAGTGACGAAAGGTTTGGTTATAGCAGCCCGGCCATGTACATTGACATTGTGGAGCTCCCGATAAACCATTTTGGTGGAAACAGGAGAGTTGAGGTGCACATTTAATCCTCCAGTGAGTTGCGCAGCTGTGGTTTAATTATTATTTTTTATTTTTTGCATGAACATGCCTTTCAGACAGCTTCTTCTTGAATGTGGTTTGTCCTTGTAGTATGTTGACATTACCCTGGATAGCATGGCTCTTGATACATCACAAAGACTTGCCATCTTGGTCACAAATGCACCAGCAAGACATTGTCCTCTTTTGACAATAGCTTGTCCTCTTTTAAACTCTGTCAGGCATAATGTGTACATTGTAATATTCATTTTCCTTCAGCATAGTCCCTTTTTTCATCAGGGATCGCTACAGTAGAATGAACCACCAACTATTTCAGTGTGTTTTACACAGCGGAGCCCTTCCAGCTGCTACCCAGTACTGGGAAACAACCATACACTCACATTTGCACACAGCCAATTTAGTTTATTCAATTCACTCATACCACATATCTTTGGACTGTGGGGGAAACCAGAGCCCTTGGAGGAAACCCACATGAACACAGAGAGAGCACTGCAATATTTGAAGCAAAACTGTGCTATTACTCTGCTAGTTAAACCTTCACACTCTTACTAGTAGAGTGTGCAATCAATGAAGATTGGCCGCCAGGCTGGTCAGTTGTAGCCATGAAACCTCTAACACTAAATTGAACAGTGTTTCAGTTTCATTATTCAACCTCTTTGTGTGTGCATATATGTGTATTAGGTATTTGTGGTTCCAGTCATTTCAATCAAGTGCTTCTCTTGCATCAGTTAAGTTGTACTTAGGCGTTGGGGAGGTGTTGACAGACTGCACAAAAAGAGCATGCTAAAATGTTCAGTTCATCTCCACGGTTACCCGATCTCTTGCACAGACGGGAGGTGCCTCATTGGCTGCCAGGCTGGGGTCACAGTGAGGTTAAGACAGTGTGATGGATGGACCTCTCTCTTTCTGTCCTTTTACTCTATCTGTTCCTCTTGCCTCTCTCAGCCCCCATTTCTTCCACTTTTACCATCTGATACTCGATTGAACACAATTTTACAATGTTCTTTTTATATAAGCTTTGCTATCTAATTTTTGTCAAAATTAGAGACTTTGTGTGACTGCATTTATTACTGTATGGTTCTTTTTACTGAAAGGATGGTTGACTCCATGGAACATAAACAAAGACTGTAGTCACATGACACTAAAGTAAAGGCCCTTTTAAAACTTGGGACAACATTTCTTGTGTACAATTGTACAATTGCTGCATTCCTCTATGCTTTATACCTGTGTGAACCAGATCCGTCATCAGTTGGTTAGGGATGGACCGTACACTAATGTTTTTGTTAACAACATAAATGCCTGCTTTTTTAGATTTCAAAAGCATCATTTAAAGAAGTATTTGCCAAAAAACAATTATCATAAAAATCTACTTTTTATTATTTCAGACCTGATTCATCTGGTTTGAAACATAAGTTAACAGCACAAAACAATTATATTTACATTTCTGTATCATGCAAGTATGCTTTCAAGATTTACTGTGGTTTGGAAAAGTGGTTTGGAAAAATCAAGGTTTTAAAGCGGCTAAAATTTTCTGTTACACTATTCCTATAGTATATGTAAGTCTTTTTATTGTGTTGTAAAGAAATCTGTGTTGGGCGAGGCAGTGGCGTTGTAGGTAATGCTGTCGCCTCACAGCAAGAAGGTCGCTGGGTTGCTGGTTCGAACCTCGGCTCAGTTGGTGTTTCTGTGTGGAGTTTGCATGTTCTCCCTGACTTTGCGTGGGTTTCCTCCAGGTGCTCTGGTTTCCCCCACAGTCCAAAGACATGCGGTACAGGGGAATTGGGTAGGCTAAATTGTCCGAAGTGTGTGTGAATGTGTGTGTGGATGTTTCCCAGAGATGGGTTGCGGCTGGAAGGGCATCTGTTGCGTAAAAACTTGCTGAATAAGTTGGCGGTTCATTCCGCTGTGGCGACCCCGGATTAATAAAGGGACAAAGCCGACAAGAAAATTAAATTAAATTAAATCTGTGTTTTTAAAACTAATGAAAGCAGCAAAAGTGAATGATTTATGTGTTATCATACAATAACTTTTATACCAGCCCATGCCTAGTATCTTGCCTCTGGTCAAAATCATTAAGTCTATCTAAATGCAAAGTGGGTAAAGTTTTGAATTCATAATTGTTCTAAAGTTATTTATTTGTTTGTTTGTTTTTTGCACTTTAGTGTCCATTAGGTGGATATATCAAAGTGACAAACAACGTGCATCTTAAGCAGCCTATAAGCAAACCCAAAAAAGGGGAGAATGTGAAATCAAATGAGTCATTGGAAGCATTATATGAGTTATTTAATGCATTCAGAACAGTAAAGGTCCGTTCAATGGTCGTGTCTATTCTAAAATCAGATGGAAGTTCGCTGCATTTGTAAACATTCGTTGTAAAATAGAAAATGCTTGTTTTAATAACGTATGAACTAGGAATATAGTAACTTAATAAAATATTTCTTTATGGGAAAGTGTAGTATTTAAACTATTTTGAATAATAAATAAATACTTTGTGGATGTATTTTGATACACAAATACATTGTTACCTCGTTAATACTGACAAATCATTTATGTATTAAATTTCTGATTCGCTATTGACTTCTTGCTTCCGTCGGTATTGTGTTTATTTATTTATTTTTTTTTGCCCGTTTACCAATTAGGGAAAATAAAAAAGCTCACTTTTTTTGCAGTGTCAGGTCAGTCCTGAATACAAATCGGAATCTCATCAATTTCGTAAACAGTTGTAAATAATTACGTTAAAGCATACACCATATAACAACAGAAACCTGCGTATATATGCTTACGTCTTTAATTCTTGTATATCAAGAATATTGGATGATCAGATTTATCACTGAAATATTTTCATATGATTAAAACAAAATAACGATTAAATTTACAATCATATGCAAAAATAAATTTGCAAATAAATGATAAAAAGTATGACATATCTTAATTTTTTTCTTCAACTTCTTTCTCTCTCTCTCTCTCTCTCTCTCTCTCTCTCTCTCTCTCTCTCTCTCTCTCTATTTCTCTCTCTGACACGTTTTGATAATAGGCAAGGATAGACCTAATCGCATTTATGTTTTCACAGTCACGAATACAGCTTAATCCTGGTGGTTGGAGTAAGGACATTCAACTTGCAGCATTGAATTGATCTAAAGTGACTTCTTGATCTTTTAAAAATTATTTCTTGGTTTCATAAAGGCCACTAATTGTTTAAAGGGTTGTCTAATGCGGATTTTTATATTATACTTATTTGAATATATAGACTTGGGATGCTCAATCCTGTTTATGGAGGACTTCTTAAGAGTTCAGCTACAACACTCATCATACACATCTGAACCAATTTATTATGGTCTAAACAGCACTTAATGTTAAATTAAAGGCATGCATGTTTGATATTGTAATGAAATCTACAGGACGATTTCAGGGTTAGTCAACATATGAACTTATATTAAATGTATTTTTTAAAATTACATTAAAATGCATTGGAAATGAGAAAAAAAAGTCGTATTTTTATTTTAATGGATTTTGTCACATAAGCATTTGGGCAAATTAAATCAGAATGTGCAAAGCATGTTAATGCCTTCGTAAGTTTGCCGTATACTTAAGAAAAATTACGAAAAATCTTAATTAAGAAAACAAAATTGGAAAATGTTTATTTTAAAACTTATTTATTAAAACTTAAACCTAGAAAGCACTTTGCTGTATTTTATTGTACAAAATAATTCTATACAACTATTGTTTTTCCACCAATGTATAAACACACTTCGAATTTAGGATAAAATCTTATGTACCCATCAGATTCATACACAATCACAGGTGGATCTAAAGTAAAGTTATAAGCTGTCAAAACGTGCGTATTGAAAATGTCAGAAAAAAACGTTAATAAAAATGAAAAAAAAACTTGCATTGTGTTTTATAGTTTGCCGATGATTCCGTGAAAATGATTGTTTATGGGTAAGATAACATAGTACTTATATTTCCATGCAGTTTTTTGATAGAACAAAACTTTTTTTATTGAAAAAAATACTTGTTACGCTGTAATTATTTATGTAAAATCATCTATAATAACACTGCTTACCCTTTAGCGAAAACTTAAGAAACTCAAATTGAACTTTTGACCACTTAAATCTACTCACTAAACCCGTCTATAACCTTATTTCATCTAAATATCAACCAGAATACTTTGCAATACAACATGAACATCAGTACAAAGTACTTTACCTTTGAAGTTATAAGACGTTAAAGACACAGAATATAAAGTAGGGTTTTTGCACAGGTGAAAAACTCCTCAGCTATGCTCAGTTTAGCTTTAACCCTAATTAAACACACCTGATCCATCTAATTGAGTCATGCGGGCTTGTTTGAAACCTATGTATGTTGGAGCAGGATTGGAAATGAACTGAGGACTGAGGAACCTATTTTGACACCCGTGTTATTTTATTCAGATCAAGATATTGTTATCCTACTTCCCCGCTCCCAGCTTTGTAAAGCAAACTAAGCTGCAACATGAGTCAGACATCCCATCAACACTGATGGGGTCAGACCGACTCATTCTTGTTTGATAGTTGAGATGATTTAATCGATCGTCATGTTTTTTGTTTCTCTTCGATAAACTAACAGGTCAATAGGGTTGTCACCGCGAATAACGGTGACAGCATTGCGCATCTTCTATCGTGGATAAACATGCTTAATGTGCCAATATCACTTCGTCCCTGAGGAAAGAACCACACGCGGACGCATATATCAGTTACGGAGGCAGAGAGCTAGTTATTGGTGGATTTAAGACTGCAAACAAGCAATCGATAAATCAAACTTAACAGTTCATTCCACAAAATGTATATTTAAATATTAAATAATAGTGCTTAGATTGCTGGTTTAAATTTTTAAGACAGATTGTCAGCAGTGTTTTAGAGTTAGTTGTTTCTGTGAGGGTTGACAGACATTAGAACCATCAAAAGTAATACAGTATTTGAATAAATTGTACTTATAAGATACATTTTAATTATCACATGATTTCACCCGTATCTTGATCTTTTTCTAACGCATTTCTAAATTAAAGGAAACTTTAATTCCGACTGATAAAACTCAGCATCACCGGAGAACAACTTCAGACAATTGCGTATGCTGCAAAACTCACAACACAAGAATTAACAACACTTTGCATCGTCCAGAGAATTTGTCAATTACAGACACTATTTCCCGAAAGATTTAACAGATTCACTAGTAATGCATCCCCTAAATATATTGCACTATTTCCTTCGGTTCTTGAGGTAGACATTTTGACAAGTGGTTTACAAGTTCAAACTAAGACGCGCGTAAAAGTGCAGCATTTGTTATTACTGTGCACAAAAATGCACAAGCCACTTCTTTCTATCCAGGTGCTTGACAAAGTGCCCAAGACAATTAACAGTTATTTCACATTAACATAAATAGTGCACAGATAAACAATGAGTGATCAAAATGGTCGAGTTAGAAACGGTTGGTCGCTAAAACACTCTTCCACTTATGTTAAAACATGATGTACAAATAACCATAAGACAAGTCACAAACAATTTTGCATTATTGTTTACAATTTGAAAGAACAAATGTGAAAGCTGTTTAATTAGAGGAGTATGCCTCAACAGTTGGTGAAGGAGAGGGCGTGGATGGTGCAGAGGGCGACTTTTCAGATGCATCCTCTGTTTTTTCGAGACCATCTTTCTGTTCGGACAAAGATTTCGGCAAAAGACCTTCCTTTTCGCGCTTCTTTTGTTTCATACGGCGATTTTGAAACCATATCTTCACCTGAGTCTCATTCAATTGGAGAGAAGCCGCGATCTCCACGCGCCTTGCGCGAGTCAAGTACTTATTGAAATGAAACTCCTTTTCAAGCTCTGTCAGCTGTTTTGTCGAAAAATTGGTGCGTACAGTGTTTGGCTGCCCACCAAATCCATACTCCCCAGCTTTTCCTTAAGAGAGAGAATGAAAAGAAGAATAAATGAATGTGTGTATGCATACTAGGCTATATTGTTATGTCAAGTCCCATATCTTAGGTTTCTTCAGATGTTTATGTAACCAGTGTTGGACATGCAATATTAAGTCAGGACTTGTATTCCGTATCGGGAGAAAAAATAATTACGACTTGTAAAATTTAAGTCACTCACCTGTTTTTGGCGGGTTGCGTTTAACCTTCATCCAGTCAAATGTCTGTCCCGTGGGCACGCCATCTGATAGAGGTGAACAACAAGCATCATGATGAGGCACATGCAGAGGGGAAAGCGGATTTGAGCAGCCCGCCACAAACGTAAGGTTTGCCTGATCCGAACTATTACCATATGTGGCTGAGCCGTACTGGAACTGGCCATGGAGGTGAACGTTTCCGCTACTGTAACCATGACGATGATGACGGTGCTGCACAACAGTGGAAGAAATATTTCCAGAGTAAACTAACGGGCCACACTGGGGAAAGCTCACAGACGATTCCACGTCCTGATTTAGGGCATAGTGATTGTATCCAGTGCAAAAACTTTGAGTTCCATAACTTGGATGGGCGCTGTAGGTAATTGACAAAGTCCCGGGGGACTGGTACGAGCCGGCCTGTTGTGGCTGAGAGTTAATTACATCTTGTGACGATATATTGGACATGAACCGTTCATCTCCACTGCAGCTATTTAACCTAACAGCACACGACGATTGGAATGTTGAAAGTCCGTGATCACCGTGGAACGCCCTGACTGAGCACGAGCCCCCGCTACCTCCATCTCCACCACCACTTATGGACGAAAAATCTAAGAATGTGCTCATTGTGTCATCTTCTTGGGCGTCTCAGCTCGTGGTTGCCACACTGACAGAACTTTGGGCCCGGAACTGATTAACGTCGCACCATTCACCCTGGGTTGAGCCGAGGCACCCTTCTGCCTCCTTCAATCAGTCGTGGATTGGAGGTGTTCGGGCGCTAGTGATATGAATGACCAGTGACAGTCACGTGGGCTGGGTCAGCCAGTGATCAGTTGTGCTGTCTCATCTTGATCTTAAGTGGCCTTGCACTGACAGGTTGTCGTTAAAGACCAGGCTTATGCAAATGCCGACCTCTTGTCCATCAACGTTACGTAGGCCCACCTTTACTTCTGCTGAAAGGATAGATTCGCTGGCAGATACGCTAAGAGGGACGTTGTCTCACAGACAGCGTCCCGGCAGCATCAGCTTCTCGGTGTGTGGATTTTTTTTAAAGAAATGCTTCAGGTAAGATGATCTCAAAACCACAAAGAAATTATGTAAAGTTAGTATCTTTTTCTGGTTCACAATTCGGGTAGCAATATCCTATCAGCTATAGGCTCTAGTGTATCGGCTTTCGTCAACTTAGTAAGTGTATAAAAATGATAAACTGACTACCACTCATCGTATTGTTATTTTTTCGGTGTAGCCAGCACAGTTATATTTGTTGTTTTTTAATACGTTAGGCTTAGCTACTTGATAAAAACATTGGCTGTAGCCCACTGTATATTTATTACTGCTATAAGCTATTTAGCCTATGTCTATGTATGCTAACTGTCAACATTAAGCAGCAAGGAACTAAGGACTTGGAACTTACTTGGAACTAAGAACTTACATGTTGAAATAAATACATTAGCGGGATTTCTGTTTTTGCTGAATGCTATTTTGTGATTAGTATTCACAGACTGATCAATAATCACAGGGAAGACGATGTATTTTATCCACAATCCTATGTGGAGCAGAGGAGACACGCGCCCCCTCTGGAGGAAATTGGACATTTTTATACCTTTTTTCTTTTTTCAAAATGGCGCTTTACACAAGCTTACTACGGCCTAGTATTTCTTATGCCACTATTTTTTTTACAGCAACAAGCCTGACAAATAAGGCAAGAAAAAATAACAGCATAAATATAAAGTGTAATGTACTTAAATGAAATGGAGTCATAGTTTATAAAAACTGTAGAACCACTTAGTGGCCAAATGTTCACTCTGTTAGATGTGGGGAAAAATATCTAAAAATAAAAACTATTGTAGTTGATTAAATATTTGTTTATTCATACGAAAAAAAGCATTTTAAAACATCTTCAATAAAGACATTATAAACATTTGTAACGTTATTTCAATCAGGACAAAAAGCAAAAAGACTAAGACAAATTGGGGAGGACGTGCAGTGAAATATGTTGTATGAGTGTTTTGTGTAATCCTAATGACGGGGTGTAAAACGCCAATAAAAAGATTAATTATTATTATCCGTCCACGTGGGTTGCGCTGAATCCAAAATCGTTATATTGATAAGCGGTGAATGAAATACGTATTTGGGCAGATTTTCACAGACACTGATTGTCTGGATGCTGTCAGCTTTTCTAGAAGACTTTGATTTATGAGTTCGTTTCATGAAAAGAAACATCCTCCTCGGTATTTCCTGACGATGCAGAGAAAAGAGTACGAGACAAAGAGCCCAACTTTGGCGAAGGAGACACGTTTGAACAGTTTTGCTTCATAAATTGCAACATTTGAAAAGTTTTAGGAGTTTGAGTGATAACAAATGTATTAGGATTAATTGTACAGTTTTAGTAATTCCGCAGCTCACAATTTTTCATAAATTGAAAGAAATAGGTTGCTTTTTATATTTTAGTATTCTCCAAAATTATGTTTCCTGTTTTTTTTTCCATCAACCGTAATTACATAAAATCAGCGTTTATATCTTTTAACACAAACTATAAAAGCTTAGCTAACTTTACACATTGTTTATGACTTTTCTTCATACTTTAAATTGTTTACAACATTCCATCATTTTCACTTGCTTAATTTTATAATTAGTATAATGTGTTTATATACCATAGCAAGTGCATATGAAAGTATACAAGTAATGGTTTTTCAAATGTTTATGTGCTTACTTAAAACCGTCTTGACCCAATACTTAGAAATAATGTGTATTCTTAACAAAAATAAACAAATTACAAAACATAAAAAATGAACTTTTAATGCATGCAGTGGGCAAGGCTACATTACATTAAATACGCGCTACTCACGGCAAAAAAAATCTTACCTTCGACAAGTTTTTGATAAGTGTGTCAGTTAATCGTATATCAGACATATCCTGCAAACAACATTACTCTTATAAATGTAAACTTATTTATCCTTACATTTGTCCACTGATCCTTCTGATAATCAGGAGATTTCATTTCGTGGTAAATTAATCCGTGAAGAAATAAGTGCACGTTGGTAAATATCATGTGCTTCCTAGAGATATGTAGCATTGGTAAAACTGCATTAGACAAACATTAGTCGATCTAAAAAGTTGATCTCCTTCTCATACTTATCCATAATGTGTCGAGTAAAGCGGATGTCCCAACACAATCTCACGGGTGGCGCTTTTTTTTTTTTTTTTTTTTTTTTGCTATAGCGCATTATTGTTCCCCTTTCCAGAGCATTTGGTAACTGACTGAAAATAATTTTCAGATGCTTTTCCATTTATCTGTTAGAAAACATTTAAAATTGTGCATGTCGTTTTCATTACAGGGCTGTCCGGCGATGGATGACAGGTTGTTTTAAAATGAGTTCGACTCTTCGTCCACAACGACCAATCTGCCATGACTTGGGCCACAAATGAAGGCTTCCTCGTCGCTCTTTGCACCACACTCATCGACATTTTTCCTGCCTAGTTTTCTGTAGATGTCCATAGTTTTGGTTTGACGTTTATGTTTTATTCGTCGGTTTTAGAACCAGACTTTGACCTAGCGTTCCGCTAGCTCGAGCAGTGTGACTATTTCCACACGGCGTGGTCGGCTAAGGTATCTGTAGTGGTACTCCTTCCTGATCCAAAAGCTGTTTAATGGTGCTGTTCTCAGGCGGCGCGAACCTCCTCGTCTACAAGACAAACCACTGTAGGGAAGCTCCGATGAGCCTGGAAAAATAAGTCGACAAAAGAGCAGTCGTTTCAAAGTTAACATTATGTAACATAGCAATGCTTTACAACACCTAGAATTTTAAATGCCAACAAGGAAATGTGATATTACAATCTTCACTTAAAAGTTTCAAGAAAAACACTGTAGACGCAAACAGCATGGACCGTCTTCATGGTACTGACTAGCAGTTTATAATGAATGCATGAGCGCCACTTGTGTTTAAACAGCAATATATCATTCTTCATTAAGCTTATCGATTCAATATCGGAGTCAGACATTTTGCAGAATTTTCACCCAGGCTTTATGGGTAATATTGTAAATAGCAGATGTAAAGAATGACCTTAAATTACCCTATTTTTTTCTGGTAAAACTTACCTTTTGGTGAGAAGCAAAATATACCGGCTTAACCCATTCCTGTGGAAGGACAATTTTCTTGTTGGTATTTTTTCGAGCATCCAAGGTTTTAGACAACTGGCGTGCAATGGGCTTTCACAATTTAAGCTATGCCGAGGCCCTACATGGCGCTGCTGACTCCCGTGACTCAAGCTTGGAACGTTGTGCTCAAAAGGAGGAAGGATGAGAGGGTGAGGGTTCGTAAGTGCTGAGCGTTTGATTGATGACTTCTGAAAATAAACCACCAACAGAGGAAACAGAAGATACTCCGCGAGCGATGGCCGACTATTAAACCCGTCTCACGCTCAAAGTTAACGTGTTGTTTGACGATTGGAGAGGCCTTAATTTAAATTTTCGCTCTTGATTTAAACATAGTAACATGCTATAGTGGGGCTATTAAGAAATATAATTATACCCGCTGACATTTGACAAAATTACATTCAAAGCCAGTTTGAAGTTTTGCAGAATTACCATTACCTGATGGCAGTTTGTGGTTTATTCCAATGTTCAGGTCAATCCGTAGAACTTTTTTGAGCAACTCCACTCTCAAGATAGATGCTGGCGCTTTGGTCATCGTTGTCATTACAATCGTTAAAAAAGCAGTAGTCAAAAAACGAAAGTCAAAGTGTTTTTATCGGTTATGTGACGAGATAAGTCTTTCCCCAATACTGTAACCAGTGAGGCTAAGTTATGTCTGTTATGTTTTTTTTTATCGCATGCGCCCTAGGCCAGAATTTCAGCTCATCTCATATTACTATAAATAATACACATGAATGAAATCTCTAATTCCCCTCACACACTTTTACCTTAAGGTTTAGGCTGTTACTTCTTAAGAGTAAGACTTTTAAAGATAGCAAATTGCTATAAATACAAAGAATCGGCATAGAATACATTATTTATAAAACGATCCTTATTTAAATGACTTATGCAGTACCTCAATGCAATACTATCATGAAAGATAAATTCATTTATATTCAATATTCTGAAGGATTCACAGTCTCTCATTCAGTCTTGTTTCAACGGAGTACTGCGTAGTCCTCTGTAAATTATACGCTTCATACGAAATATTCAATTGGAGCCTTATTAAGCATGCACATCCTTAATGTTTGGACAGTGAGGAGTGTTAATACTAAAACTGAATTTCACAAAATACCTTATCTGTGCTCTCTTTTGTTTCACAATTTAGCTTCCACTAAACCTTACATTGTATGTTATAGTCTGCAGTGAAAATGTGGCTCTGTGACAAATTGGTTCTTTACGATCTTTATTCACATTGGATAAAAGCGTCTCCTAAGTTAATGAATTGAAATACAGCTAGCTTATTTGAATAGTAGAACTGGCGTGCGTGTTGTCTGGCACTTTTAGATTATTAAAAACGTTGTTAGCGATTTACATTTCTGTGTAGGCTATTTGTGGATAGTATGTGTATTCTGATTGAACGTTATGGAAAAATGTGCTTGTCGTTTGTAGTTTTAGTGGTTATTTACTAAACAAAGAGTTCCAGGCTTGCACATGATCAATCTTACTTGCCAAAAGGTCTGACCGACTCCCCCGCAACCCATTTTAAAGCTTCTAGCTGTGCTCGAATCAAATCCTGGCAGAACAGGGGGTGAAAAAGCTACATTTGATAGATTCACGTGTTTGTCTTGAAGTAATGACTTAGCAGTTTCATGTTTAGCCTACACTTACATACATTAACGTTTAACGACGTTATTTGCTTTGGATGTTTTTGGTTTAACTATTTTTCATTGCATTATTCTATGAATGAAAATAGAAAAAAAAAAGTTAGCGTACTGGGTGATGGAGCTTTTCACACGTTGTCGAAAACATCCTGTTAATTCAACAAAACTTATTTGAGTTTATCAAATTAAGGTTTACACACTATCCCCTTTATCCCCTATGTTCAACGCACGCTAAGTTATTTGTTATGGATCGTCTTGTTAAATTTACGAATAAAGTGTAGATTGGTAAATTATTGTGGATGTCAGTTATTATTAATTGTAAAGTTATTATTGTTGGCCTTAAGTGAATAAATTATAAACTGTCAAACTTTTTTTCTATTATTATTATCATTATTATTATTATTATTATTAGCAACACCAACATTAATTAATTGAACTGCTTATGTTGCTAATGTTTTTACACATCGCATTGTTGTTGGCCTAAAAATGGCAAAAAAAAAGGCATTTAAAACATTTCTCCCACAGGCACCACGAAAGGCCTATAGAAGACTGTTAGGACAATCAATGGGATTGCTTGCACTTTTCAAAACATCCAGTACTGCAGGAAATGACGTCGCACCATTACACTGTGGCCGTTTAGTCTTTTCTTAATGTCTTTTAAAACCAATTTTGCTAAATTTTCCTTATTTGAACTAAACAGCCGCATTTGAGCAAGATATCAGATTCTGATTGTCTATTTTCTGTTTCTGATCCTTTTGTTGAGTGATTCAAATGCAAATACGTAACCCCCTCAGATTCTTTCTTTCTTTTATTTATTTTTTCAGAAGTTGAGCAGCATGGAATATCTAACATGGAATGTCTAAATATTTGAACAAATAAAAAGTATGAGCATTTGATCGTTGACTTTCGACTGTTTAAGCATGGCATGGTAATATTTCATGCCATGTAATATTTCACTAGGTAATATTTTTACACTTTGAAATTTGATGAATAATCTTGCCTGTTTACATTTATTTGTTCATATGATTTCAACATTGATATTACAGGAAAAAAAACATTTTTCCCTTCTACCCATTTTCTGGAGGAGCTGGGCTAAATAACACAATCTATTGTCCATGGAAACATAAATACATAAAAAAAACTCACGCTGTATTTTAAGACTGAATAATATGGAAATTTCCTCAAGTGCAAAATGCAAAACAGAAAAGAAATCTTGGACTGCAAACAAATTAAAAAACTTAAATTCACATTTATACATAATATATAAAATTGTGTTCTATGTGCTCTTACCCTGTATTTAAAAAAGGCCTACATATATCCCCATGATACCATGGTATTTGAGCTTATAAGAACTTCATTTTCCTTTCTAAACGTATAAAGTAGAAACAACAAGCTCAGTTCACCTGAGGCAACGTCAGGAAAACTATATGAACCAAATAAACGCAGTTGAAAATTCAGTCAATACAAGAAACCCAAATGTGTGCCGTGGACAGGGAACAAAATACACTGCGCCACTATAAATGCGTCAGTTTGGGTGCTTCCTGAATTCTTCCCTGAGAATAGTGTGGTGTTAAGTCTGTGAATGTGCATGGGTTTGAATCGCATGCTCCTTGCTGATGGCTGTTTCCCATGGTAATAGCGCCATTGTAGTCTATATTGCCTTGAGATGGATGCGGTAGGTGCGTCAGGCCAAAAACCGAGGCCCCCATACCCACCAAAGAATCCGAGTAACCTCCACCGCCACTGACATAGACAGGGCTGCCCTGCACTTGCGTTCCGTAATTGTTGTTGCCTTGTATATGATGCGTGTCGTATTCTGGAGTGGCTGTACCAGTTCCCTGATACCGCTTCTGTGGAGGCGGGCAGTTGTTCAGAGGAGGATATGACGTAGGAAGGCTGTATGTATTAGATTGAGGTTTGTTATACGATGCTGGAGAGGGTGAGTCGTAGGTTACGCTGTTTACCAAAGAATGCATTGAACTTAAATATGCACTTCCACCCCCTCCTCCGCCCCCGGATGACAAGGATACTGGGCTGTGAGGAGACTGTGCTCCAGGAGATGGCATCATTCCAAGCCCCTTCTGGTCTTTCTTGTACTTCATCCTGCGATTCTGGAACCATATTTTAATCTGCCTTTCCGTCAGGTTAAGCAGATTTGCCATTTCTACTCGTCGTGGTCGACAGAGGTAACGGTTAAAATGGAACTCTTTCTCCAACTCCACGAGTTGAGCAGATGTGTATGCAGTACGTGCGCGCTTAGAGGCGGCCGAACCAGGGGGACTTTTGTCTCCAGCGCAGCTCTCTACTGTATGAGTACAAAAAAAGTAAAACGAAGCGTTATTGCGCATGTCCAAGTAAATGGTTCTCACTGCACATCCTCTTTACATGATACATCCATTGCTTTTAATATTGTTAACTGGGTGTTGTTATTGTAGCTATCAGACAACATATGACTGCGCCATGAAAAAGTATTACATCTTTTCAATAATACATTATGCATATAATACAATAAGTCACTAGCCAATTGTATCCCTAAACGCTATTATTTTAACTGCATTTTTTCATCACTTTGTGTTTCCAAATCATAGCAATTCTCAAATAAATTGATTGTCTGCTGAATTATGTAGCTAACATCAAAGATTTGGCTTTTAAATAATTAAATAATGCAGTTCCAGGCAATGCATTTAACATCAAAACAGTCTAACCTACTACCAAATGTTACATTTATGTAGTCAGCACACCTTTTTTAACAAAAGCGACAGCAGATATAATATGCTAAATAAAATGTAATACTAAAGTAATAAAATCTGTCTAAAATTAGATGCGTTAACATGTATTCAATTATATATTCCGTCGAACATTTTAATATGCAAGTTTAATTTTAGGTGCTTTAATGTGGTTGATGTAATCACCTGAAATGATACTACAGGATTTCTGCTTTGTGTTCTGACGGGACTCCTTCATCCAAGGGAAAATGTGTTTCCTTGTGGATGGTGTTGGTGATACGTGGACTGGATTCTTGGCGGCGGAATCAATGTTTGGAATTTGATTCAGGGAACTGGGGGACGATGGTCCAGAAGGGGCAGTAGGGGGCTGTTTGTTGTCGGAGGTGTCTGTTACTGTAGCTTGTGTTCCGTTAATTTGTTGGCAGACCTCGGACATTTCATTGGATGTGTGCAGACCTGCAGATATACCAGGGGACTGCAGAGAGCAGGCCGGTCGATGGTACTCACTTTCCGCATGAAGGGCCTGGAGATACTGCTGCTGACTGGCATCATAACCTAAACCGTTTGCGCTTTGATAAGGGAGGCCACTGTAAATTGCCGAGCCGTCGCAGTAGGTTGCCTTTTGCATCTCGCCGTTTCCCAATGTTTATTTCACTTTCTGACAAGGTCCTGACACCTTTGTAGAAGAACATTGGCTCAACGTAGTCACGTGACACCTCTTCGCCAATGGGCTCTACGGGTAAACCTACGGTGAGAGAAGACACGGTGAGCGGGTGAAAATAAGGCCTATCCATCTTACTTTTCAAAGCTCGGCTGACAGTGTGGCGAGACTGGGAGAGCCGGTCACCACTTACCTTATGGCCATTTGCAACAATAGACAACATAACTCCACACCACAAAGAACATGATCGCCGTTTAAACAATGGAACTCAATCACACTGTCCAATAAAACGCTATATGTTAACAATCCAGTAAAAAATATACAATCTAAAAACTAATTTGTTTTTTGTCTAAATTTAAAAATGAAGGCAACTCAAAAAACAGGCAAACCTGTTTGTGTTAGTCATAATTTTATCCAAATTTGCTTTGAAACTGCCTAATCTTTTTATGCACATGAGCACATTAAACCAATATTTCTTTTCTGAAAGAAACTTGAATTTTGTAGCAAATTTAAATCATAAGAACTGAAATAAACCATCAGCTAAACTTAATCAATTAGCAACAATCACTTATGTTACCTAAACAATTTCCTGTTTAAAAATAAATATTTATTAGCTATATGCTATTCTTTCATCTGATTTTAGTTCGTAAGGTGTTTCGTGACAGGTAAAATTCAAGCCCCTGCGTGTATTGTTTGGGTTCGAAAGCAGTAGTAGCAGAAAACCTGAAAAACCGGGCTAACACGCGTACCCATAACCACGTCATATGAGCTCTTCATCGCCAACCCCAAATAAAGTATTATGGTAACTGTAACTGGCATAAGTGGACGCATGAAAGGGTCACCGAGCCGGGAAAATGCTATCGCCGGAAGCTCGTGAGTAACCTTTGAACCGAATTAAAACCTGCATTAAAGTATTATTTTATATTCAAAAGATCTATACATTGCTTAATATAGGCTATCTCACAAACCCACGTTCCTATATAAACTTGTAATAACAAAACAGAACGAAGATTATAAACAAATATTAAGTAGGTCTAAATTGTCAAATAAATAAAAAAATATGCCAATAGACTAAAATTGTATGTTTCTGTAACAAAATCAATAGTGCACAACAACAATGATAATGATTATACAGTGGTAATCGGCTTAATATAAATAGCATTCGATGTAAAATCAAGTTTCCACATCGGTTAAAAAACAGAAATCAGGCCATAACGTCACACCACGAGACTATTTAATTAAATAGAAATTAAACAAGAGGCCTCTTCTGATTCAAAATCAGCCATCTATGCTTGAATTTCACAAATTTGCTCTCTGTCACTATAATACTGGAAAGCTAAAATAAAATAAGCTAAAGCTACAAAGCAAGAGACCCAGCTGCTGCACGGGAGGAATCTGGCTTGACTGTGAGTGAGCAAGTGTGTGCGAGTATGAACTCTCCCTGAACCGAGATTTCAGCCGCGCGGTCATAAATCACAAACTCGCCATTTAAACAGCATTGGAGAACCCTGCCTCTGTCCAGCTTACCTTCCTCTCTGACGAGCAGCGCGCAGCACGCCGCGAGCTTCTCTCATTCAGCGGCAGAAATCGATCAAACTGCAGTCCAGGATAAAGCTAAATCGAGAAGACAATAAAGCAAGAGCTGCACTTGCAATAGTCATTGGACTTGTCTGCAGTAAAGCAGCAACTCAGTTGCACTCGATGTCTCAGATTCCTTCCTTCAGTTTTTTTTGTTCGTTTTTTTGACGCAGATCAGTATAGCGGCTAGATAACAAAAATTGTCTCGTGCGCCCTGTTCGTAAAAATAGGCACATTTACACAAGCCCACATATTACATTCTGTTAAATGAACGCCTGTGTTCTCTGATCTATACTAAATGCCACCATGGGCTGCGCTCTAGTGAGTCTCTCGTTCCAGGAACGTGCACAAACTAGCACGTTAGCACATACTCATGCACACCCCAGTGAACTCCCTCGAAACAGAGCGTCACCGTAGACAAGAAAAATTATGCAAATTAAGCGCCTTCTCAAGCACAGAAAACAATCCTACTACCTTGTAAACAGTCAGTGCGGATTAAACACAACGTAATATAATCTACAGCTTAAAGATTGTTTAAAACTAGACAATTTGTTAGAAAATTATCAAATTTAAGCTTAATTGTATAAACATCTTTTCGATTATGAAAGAATTGAAAATGCTATTTGTCATAAAAGGACTGCCTTAGAGTATTTATAATTAAAAGTTAATTTATAAATCGCAGCATCAGTAATTAAAACAACAATAATATACTGAAAGACTTGAGTAAGATCCATTCATTCAACAAATAATTGATGATTAAGAATTTGACCACGGACTACCAGCAATAAAATCAAAGGTTTGTGGGAGAGGGGTTCTGTATACAAATGAATTACCACCATCAGCGTGTCTCTTTTCTTGGTCAAACTCTATATGGCCGTACATAGCCTGTTTTGGCGCGGCCCCCCTGGATTACAGATTACCAAAACTAAAGAGAAAAAAACAGGCGGCGTGGGTTGGTGAGTGGGATTTTAAAATCCTTGCGTATGCTGTTTTTCTACAATTTAAGCATTTTTGGACATTAACGCTATTGTTTCCCCTTCTTTCAATAGAACGATGACTAAGAAGTTTCATTGACGGCACTGAAATCTAATCGAAATGTAGGCATGATAAAATAACTGATTTGTTTGTATTAAAATCCCAGTAATTGTTCAAATAAACAATACTTTCAATATATAATGATTTTATATATTGAAATTATATATATATATATATATATATATATATATATATATATATTATATATATATATATATATATATATATATATATATATAATGTGTGTGTGTGTGTATTAAAGTTATGTAATGCAATAGAGAGCTCACCTTAAACGATACAGCTCCCGTTGTTTTAGTACTGAGGCACATTCATTTGTTGGAAAATCTACGACAAGAAAAAAAGCATAATTTCTTTGTTGTTGCTTTTTCATTTTGAAACGGTAACAACAAGGAGAAATGTAAATAATAATGTCACTTTATGACTTACTGGGTGGTTTGTGGTGTACATAAAATTTATGATAAAAATCAATAAAAGCGTTTTTCTACCACCCATTTCTGTAATTTAATTTCAGACTAATTTAACAAGGCAATAAAAACATGACATCTATTTTTTATTTTATATTTATAGCAATTGGGTTACACTATTTTCATTGCACAAGTCCATTGCACTTAACAACAAAGTCAAATCATGAAATCAACAACAAATATATACTGCAAAACGACCATGGTAATTTACACCAATTAGCTTACAAACTAAAAGTATCACTAACAACATACAAAAGTTAAAAAAATTACTACTCACACCTGAATAAAAAAAAATCTACATTTTAATTCTTACACCTTTTGCTGATGCAGTTACTAGCACAAATAGGTCAATGCATGTAATAATTAAAAAGGGGAAAACAAACTACATCAAAGTAATAGATTTATGTTTAAAGTCATAAAGTACATTGATGCTTGTGTAAAAATGATGAATAAATCAAAAGAAATATCACAAGGAATAAAACATCAAGGAAATATTTTGTTTCCTTTCGAGTGAATTTAGATCGAATAGTCATTAGCTCTCGAGCAGCGGCTGCCCTAAGTCCCCAGCCCATAAATCAAGACTCGGGCGTCGTGACCCCGTGCGGCAGCGTGCTTCTGGATGATACTCCTTATATTATATCCTCGTTTCCCAAGCGAGGCTCCGCAACAAACGGGCCGCCACTGCTCTGTTGAGCTTTATTCGCTGTCTTGTGATTTATTTTTCTGGGAAAACCCAGTTTACACACCCACTACAAGCTAAAGAGCTTTACAGCCAAACACAAGAGTTGCCGAGTCCACGTGTAATACAAAGACATCATCATTCATCATTCTCATATTTAAAATCAAAACAAGGAAACAACATACAAAAATGATAACTAACTAATGGTATAAATGAACATAATTATACATCGATAAAAATACTGGGAGAGTCTATTTGTTTAGAAAAAAGTGTTTTAGAAACTATAGATCGTAGTCCATATTATCTGCGATAAACTAATTTTGTACATCTTGTTTAACGGTAAGTTTTTTTTTTTTTTTTTAACTACGTATATTTTAAATGTATCTTTTATTAAATACAGACGTAGGGTACTGTTAATAAGCGAAGCATTTGTTTATCAACTTGAGTGAATATTAGTGATAATTTGTTTTGCATGACTTCCCACTAAAACATTTATTTAAAAATTCAGTCTAAGCTTTTATATTTCTTTGTATACAATATTAGATTTGCAGTGCTGCTTAAAGAATTTTTTGATTTATATTTATGCATGTAACAATTAGATTCACATTTACGCGTGTAATGTTTGTTTCACTGCCGGTTAAGGGATGAATAAAAGTTGATTTTCTAATATGCTTCAAGTTGAGTTTATTTTAATATTTTGATTCCTACTCTTATTTTATCCGCCTTTGTACGCTAAATCACCTTCTCTTTGAGCCACAAAAACTCACGAGAGTAATGAACAATCAGCGGAAATACCTCAAAATAAAATCCATCCTCATGGTGCGCAGGACTTTGTCTTTTTCAGTGTGGAAAAACATATCCGTCCATGACAGCTGTATAGCATCATCCGAAAAACGTATGGTGCTTTCGTTCTTTTACATTTTTTCTCTCCCTATATCTCCGGCATTTCTGCAAGTCCACAATGACCCAGCCCCGCTGTAGTGAAGTAGACCAGCGCTATCAGCACAACAGCAGACCGGGGTTCGTATGCCATCCACCCCCTTCATCATAATATCGCAACCATATTATGCGCCCCACTCACGTGATCCAGCGTCTATTAAAGAGGAAACCTTTTTTTACTGTGAATCATTAATGGCGAGTGTAGTTCGTCCTTTTTTTTGTCGGATAACAAAGATTGAAGCAACATGTATAGACTACTATTTTGAGTAGTATTTAAGCAGAAACAAAGCGTCATTTTACATTGTTTGTGAGAACGCATCCACCCAGCTTAATGTTTGTTGGCTAGGTGGGATCCATAAAAGCATAATTAAGCAAAATTTTGATTTGTTTTAACAAAATTTTGTGTAAAAAAAGACAAAAAAATCCAGCTTGATTACATGCTACTTGGTTTGCATATTTTAACCAAATTGGTGTTAAAACATCCAAAATTAAAAAATATATATTTGGACCTCATTACATTAATAGTCTGCTTATGTGGAAGTGTTACTGGAAAAGTAAATGGATCATATTAGCAAAATAGGGTAAAATAATATTATTTCTATACAAAATTTTCCTGACATATTTTAAAATCTAATATATATATATATATATATATATATATATATATATATATATATATATATATAATTGCTGTAAAAAAATGTGTGCAAGGTGGCCCTCTCTCGGTGATAACGGTGTATCAGTCAAGTAAGTAATGAAAGTTAATGTTATTATTGGCGATGGTAGAAGCATCTGGTATCTGTGAGCTTGCTTGTGTCAACACAGCAACACCAAAAAAAAAAAATGAACACGTTTTAACACTAGAAGGTATGCTACTTAGATATCATAACTTTTAGCCATACCATCTTTTCACAGAGTCGTAATCTATCAAGTCCCTCGACAAACAAAAGAAAGAAGACATGACTGGAAAAGAGGCCTTTTCTTTACGACCATTTGAGGCTTGTTTTCCGTCAGCAAAGTGTTTAGCTGAAAGCTCATCCAACAGAAGCTGTGAAGTCCCGTAGATAATTAATCACCTCGGCGATGCAGGACAGATCCCCCTTTCACCAATGCATTGTTCTGTTAAAAGCAACAACTTGAAGGAGTACATTATTTTCCCCCAGATTTTAATATGTTCTGAACTTTTTTCTTATTTTAGCTCCTCATTCCAAAATAAATAAATAAATAATATATATATATATATATATATATATATATATATATATATATATATATATATATATATATATATATATATATATATATATATATATATATATATATATATATATATATTAGGTATTGCGAGAATTGCGTCTGTCTCTGTGTCTCTGACCAGGACAGAGCCCACGCATTCTCGCTCCACATTGAAATAAACTAAACAATTCTGGTCTTTTTATTATTGTGATTATTATTATGCTTATGTTTATTATCATTATTATTTACTTATTTTTTTATATTAGTAGGCTATCATTTAATAAGGAACTGCAGACCTCGCGAGGGGAGAGACAAAATCTGTTTTCATCGCTGACAAGCTCTTAAGGCAAGCCAAAATTACTACCACACGCAATTTGAAGTGCGAGATAATAAAAACGAAAATAATCTTTGACTGCCGGATTGTTTAAATGTTTTTACTCTGAATTCGAAAGACGTTTGTTTAATGTGGATGACAAAAATTTAATTCTGTACAATTCAGTAGTCCATGTTTTGTTACAAAGCACAAGAGACTGACCAACACAATTGTCTTATGAACGGCTAAAACATATCAATAATAAGTATAATAATAATGTTAATAATAATAAAAAAAAATTTACTATTGCACCTGTTTGCATTTGCTTTGTAACCGTCATTAAGTCAAAAAGTATAACTGAAGTATTACCATATACAAAATTACTGTGATTCACAATTAAACTTTAATAAATCACTTTGCCATCAGCATTTAACCTAAAAGTGACATTAATTCATTGAAGATACAAAAGCTATAATTTTTAGCCTACCAAACAAACAAACGTGTTGAAAACTATCAAAAATGCATGTGGTAAACTAAAAATAATTTACATTTTAAAAAGCTAAGGTTACCTACTGCAAACCTTGTTTTAAAGACTTACCGGAAAAGAAGCACCGGGTCGGTTCGACGAGTACTCGCTATAGTCGACGGTGCAAACTGCAAAGTGAAAAATCCCACCGAACGTCAGTATTTATTTCTAACCAAGGGGTATCTATTATTTAATAAGGTCATGTGAGCCAGTCAATTAAAATTTAAGTATGGTAGATAGGGAGGTGAGCTACTGATGTCATGATAGAAGTTCAAATTTCCTGTCTGTCAAGATTTCAATCGATGATTGACCACGACTATTTAAGGGCCGAAGTTTGCGTTTATTTTCTCTTTATAGTGAGAACCCACACAGATGTTAAGTTCCACAAAGTGGTAAACAGGCAACACATATATTTTTTTTCAGATTCAAAAGTCAAGTTGATGTTGTTGTCTGTGTGTGTTTGTTTACATTAAACAAAAAATATAATACCTAATTTGCAATAACTTGTAACCTATATTTTCTGTTCTTTCAATTTAAGTGATCTATTGTATACTGTTTGTGTTTTATTCTGAAATTTAGACTGTCTTTAAAAAAGGTTGTTTCAAGTAATTTAGCAGATTTTACCTTTTAATTTATGTTTAATGTCAATTAAGGTGCGCAAAGTAAGCTTTATCTAAACACGAAGTAGTTTTTGGTTTCTCCCTGAATTTTCAAATACATATTAAAGTTCCACTGCTGCCCCATGTGTTCGAAGAGTAAAAAGATCATGGTCTAGAAGGTGCTGAAAATGCCGAGGTCAGAGGTTAAGGGGTCATACGCAGTGCTTAGTTTGATGATTGGACAGCTAATTTGTGTCCTTTGCCTGACCCCATCAGTAGTTTAAACCAGTAAGTAGTCTACTGTCTACTGTCCGTCTCTAATTCATTTCAGTAGATTCCAGGAGAATGTTTATTTTATTTAATTTTTTGAGAAGCAATGGCATAAAACATGCTAGATTTGGAGCAACTTTTAAAATCTAACAATAAACTACCCTGTTGAATACTGAAAAATGAAGCAATTGGGCGGTGCAAACTACGTCGATTTGTACAAAAATTATTCTTGAAATAATAAGTGGACCAGAATTAGACAACTACGTTAGCGTCAAAAGACACTTCAATCATTATGCGCATTATTATTTGTCAACAGAGCCAAAACGTTAGTATTGCGAATTTATATTCCTATGTATATATATATATATATATATATATATATATATATATATATATACTTTACAATTTGACTTGTAAAGTGCACATTTTCCGTAAACTCGTATAATGTGGCAATCAAATAAGCAATACTGTACACAATTAGTCAAAACTTAGGTAAAACGTAGTCTGTGCATTTAAAGACTTTCTTAAAGATCAAAATAACTATTAAACTGCTATCAAGCTTCAGGAAATAGCCAAATAACAAAATTCATCTTGGTCACATGAATTAACTTGAAATATAATTCACAATAAAGTCATATTTATTTTTCACGATTAGCCTACAATTACTTGCACACAGGCTTACTAAAACTTGACATCTTTTACCAATATACAAATGACCAAATACACGAATATTCACAGCTTTGATGACGTAAATACACTTAATAACACTCTAAAATGCGGTTCTAAGACAAATGAGATAACTACTTCAGGAAGATTATTCCTATATTATTGTGCCTTCATGTTAAAACTTCGGTTTGTACACGCGTCACTATAGCGTTGATTCCCACAAACAAGACTAAGTGACTCGGTTAACGACAGAAAACAAAACGAGCCATTGTCCAAGTTAAAGTACATTCTACTATTGTTCCTTTAAGGGAGGCAATTCTATTTTACAGGAAGAATGGGATTTCCAAACTACAATGGAGGAAGAGGTTGTGAATGCGAAGTTAGGTTGCCACTTTGGGCATTTAATAAAAAGTAACCCTGTGAAGTTCCGATCCAAATACTGCTAAGTGTTCTTCTTTCTTGTTCAGTTCCGTTTGTGCCGATTTGCTTCTAGCACTATAGGTTAGAGGAACACGGCGTAGGAAGCAGCGTTTGCTGCTGCTGAGTGGCGTCCGTTTTCACGTGATGGTTGGAGGGTGCAGAGCTCGAGGAGCGGATCTTTGTATTGGGCAGCTTGTGGTCTTTCTTCCACTTCATGCGGCGGTTCTGAAACCAGATTTTCACCTGACGCTCAGAAAGACACATAGTGTGCGCTATCTCCACACGTCGACGTCGAGTCAGGTATCGGTTAAAATGGAACTCTTTTTCAAGCTCAAGAGCCTGCTGGCGCGTGTAGGCGGTGCGAGACCTCTTGGGCACTCCTCCAGAGTAGCTGGCGGTCACTAAACACACAAACACATAACCAAGCAGGTGTTATTGACAATCTCAGGTATTAGTGAGATGTCAGATAATTAGCACACTTATAAAATAATTGTAGAGCCCTAAACGAGTAGAGTAAGAAACAATGTATCACTCTCTGTCGATGATTCCCTCTTCCACGATCTTTAAATCATTTGGTAACATTGCAACATGCGTCAATGCCTATGGGAAAATTGCTCAATTAAAAGGCCTATTTAGTGTGATCTCGTTTAAGAACAATTTTTTTGTCATACAAACAAATAGCAAATGGTCCGGGCGGACCTTCAAGGAAAATAAAATTTGCGAAAACTCCCAATCACCGGGATTTCATCTCGACGGCAGTAAATCCTCTAAATGAGCAATTACAACTGGGTTTCCTACATGCTTTCCGAAGAACGCCCTCCACAGGGCTTCTAGAGCTTTTATTGCTCGTGTACATTACTTACCGGTATTAACATGGACTTTTTTCATCCAGGGGTACACCACTGGTTCTTTACTCTTCTGTGAGCCCGGGAGAGCGTCTGACACGAGGCTACAGTCCTTGTTTCCATCCGAACCCACACAGCTTTCTGTGGTGAGGCGGGGTCCATGATTCTGCGAAACGGATTGAGGTTGCGCGTGATGACGGTCGCTGAAATCGTTGAGATCGTTGGTTGACACATTACCGTAATCATAGCTCTGCTCTTGGTAGTTTGATCGCGGGTATGATGCCTCCTCGTGATGGGGGAAGCCCGGGTCTTTCGGCCGTTCATAATAATCAGAGGATACGGGCATGTATCCGTTCTGGTGATATTCCTCGCAGGGTGGGAAAGAAGGTTCGATGTAATTTGAATTGATCAAGTAGGAACTCATGATCATTAATTTGAAAAAGTGCAACAATTCTAATTTTTATGGTGCTGTCGTATTCTGATCTCTCCAAAACCCACCTACTCCTCTGTCAAATGTACAAAGTTGCTCGGTCACGTGAGAAATGCGACCAATCAGCGCCTCCTGTGGGCATCGTGTAAACAAGCACCAATGGCAAGCCAGGCACCAGCACAGCAAAAAATGTGTTCGAAAGGTCTGTACGTCGTTTTTGTTATCAAATAAAACATATCAGAAATGAATTCAATACAGTTATCAACTGCATCATACGGAAAACAAAACTGGCTAAATGTAGACAATGTGAAATGTTACACATTGATAAATAATTGAGTTTAACAAGACATAATTTATCACGAAAGCATCCCATTGGACTGTTAATGCCCTTTCTAATGATAAATGTGCTAAAAATCTCGTTTGTTGGGTACAACGACCCGAGGTCTTGTACCTTTCAGGGACGTCCCAGTTTCTCCCAGTTGCCCGCGACCACTTTCACAAAAGCAATTCTTTCTCTGTACTTACACTATGCACCTGCTAACGAGTAGCAAAGCAACGTTTTTCAAACAAGCAACAACATTACCATCATACGTTTTTTGTTATAACCTATAACAGTCATGATTGAAAAAATACGTAAGTTTGGGGTCCAGCCATTTACATCGTAAACTGTTTGCGGAATCTCATTATTAGACGATCTGCCCAGCAGTCAAAAGTACCAAAAGCATCCACCATGAGCGGTTATATTCTATTGTAGTCTATCATAGATCTTCATTCAAAGCAAGGAATTAAAAATAGTCTAAATAAAGAAATGTGGTATTCCTTACTGCCTCAATGTAGACAAAATGTGCTGCCACAGGCCTATATCAATAAAAAAAAACTGTCCAGTTAAACTGAAGTGAACATACTGTAAAGACATTTCATGTTCTGTTCTGTAAAGAGTACTCCATTTCGGCTTCTACTCTAAACAAATAAAATGACAACAAATTAACCTCGACTTTGCTTCAGGACCTTAGCCACCATATTTGCGAGCAGCCACAGCTTGTGTATATATATATATATATATAGATATAGGCTATATATATATATATATATATAATGGCGATAAGGTGATCTAAAAATCGCTAAAAATAACAAAATAATAATGAGAGTAATGGTCATAAACATCTCTAATAAACATCAATCTCAATATAATAAACAATAATAAAACGGCAAAAATTGTATCACCTACATCTCGTTTTCTGTAAAATGAGCTACAAAAAAAAAAAAAAACAATTTCAACCATTTCTATATTTGTAATAGATTTGTTGAATTGTCACGATTAATTCAACTCTAAAATATAACTCAAAAGCCCTACCTTGTGTTACTGAACAAAATATCGCCAATTTTGCAGCTGATAGACTACGCCAGGTTCCCTGCCTAGATAAAGATGCATTCCTCTTGTGACAGGTAGTTTCTAAGTTCTTTTTCCTCAGGATTTCCATATCGTGAATCCAGAAATCTGAGTGAATCTGAGCTGAAAACTCATGTTTAAATATCCACGTCAGCTTGATATTCATGTTAACTAAACTGTGCGCCACGTGCTGTTCCTCATCTATAGAACAGCTCTGTCTACCTTTCTTTAATAGCTGTACAGAGATAACTTCGGTTTGACCTCTTAGTGACTCAGTGTCCATTTCGCCGCTTATTAATCTTGTTCATTGACAGTCTTTGTTAAACAACAAGGCGTGCCCTCTGAAAATGTGACATTTTCATATTTGTTAGACGAGGTGACCTTGCATTTACCCCGGCCTTGGACTTCGTTTATCCACTCAGGGAGCAGCGTCCTTCTGGAGGTCGACATATATACAAATACAATTTTTATTTAGTAAGCGTATAAATAAATAAATAAATAAATAAATAGGGTGTGCAATATGTGTGTGTGTGTGTGTGTGTGTGTGTGTGTGTGTGTGTGTGTGTGTGTGTGTGTGTGTATGTGTACAACATACAATGAATATTATAATAATGTTGTTGTATTTGATTTAACTTAGAATAAATTAAGATAAATTTCTAACGACAATACAGTTATTTTGATTAAACGGTTTTAGCAAAAGAAAATATATGCAGAAGTAAATAATAGTAACAATGATCAAAAAAAAATTTACACGAACCGCATATAAAATTATACAATGTCGTCTGTTTTTCTTATTTACACCGCTCCCTTCTTTTATACAAACCAGCGGGCTAAAACCGAACACGCTGATATAAATAAACACATAGGACAACACATAGGACAAAGAAAGACTCTTTTATTAATCTTTGATTGCGGTTATTTCAATGCCTTAATGGGTTATACATTTGTTTTAACTCAACTGAATATTTCTCAGGATATTGAAGGTGAATTTTACAGTTTAATATGTAAAACGAGAAGATGCCAGTAAATAATATATACGCTTACACGTTAAACCAACTAAAAAAATTAAAACACGAGTAATGTAGATTGCAAATTATATTTTGCCAGCAAACTTTATACAAATGTTGTCTTTATAAAACAGCAAACCATTTTTAAACAATGGCTTTAAGTTTAGTTTAATCCAGTGTGTTATTATCTTTCACTTGAACCAACTCCTTGTAGAAAATACAACACGATATCATATTTGAGGCCAGAATAGCAAAATTATAGTCCTATTGAATGTTTGCTTGATTTTACCAATATTTTTTTCAACCGCATGATTTGCTGTATCCTGCAATTACACACCTCCCCGTGTAATTTTGTGCTTTGCCGACTATTTCTGGTGTCCTATAAGATGAATTTTGAATTGTCATCGCTTCTTTAAAGCCCCTGCACTCACATTGAACATAAAACATAAAACTTTTGACAATTTAATTTGAATTTAGATTTGAGTAATGGGTATTCTCTACATTTTCTGTAACACAAATTGATACCTTTTCTCGGAAGGTTTTAGCTATTTGCGCTACTTATGTTTGTGTGTTTATGAAATTTATATAACATTTTCTTCTTCCCAAAGTGATGAGTGCTAAATTATATTGTTCTATATTATATTTACATTTATATTATTATATTGTGTTTATTTTTAAGGCAATGTCAAGTCATTTTATTGCAGTTCTCAATTTCGTGGCTCCCTCGTTTTTTTCTTGCTATACTGGTTAAAAATAATGTTATAAAACAATTATTTTACTTGCATAGTATTTTTAGTTCATATTTATTTATGTTTTTTTACTGTCTTTATTTAAACTTAACGAATGCTATTTTTTAAGGTGCTTAACAAGAACAAAACACCTCTGAAGTCTGAAGTATATGCAAACAATGTTCGTTCCAAAACAACCATTTGTAAATGCAAATGTATTGTTGAGTTTTTGGTCATCAAATACTATTTATTCAGAGGAAATTCACCAATCAAATCCCTTAATAAAAAAGGAATACTCGATCTTTGGAATTGGCGGAGTAGGTAGTCTCTTGGGATGCTAACCTAGGGTCACCCAGCTTGCAGGGTTCATCGCGAGGTTAGACCAGAACTCACGGGATTCACAGCTATTCCATCTTTTGTGCCATTATAAAAGTGGCACTGCGCTCTACAAGAACAGATGACAGCTACTTGTTCTGCTTTAAACTTTTGACCTCGATCCTCCCCCTACCTTTAAGACTTCTTTCTATCAGACAAACACAAATAAACAGATGGACACAAACAAGCCCTCAAACTCATCAACTTTCGTTTCAACACTGTCGTTTTCCCACATATATTATTTATACCTTCAATTATCATTAATGTTAGGTCAAAACTATTAATATGTTATTAAATAAATTTCTATCTACAGGCAGCTTGGCCTGATATATAATGTATGTCCTAATGGCCTTAGATTCTACTGATACCCATGCTGTATCCAGATTCGTGAACCACGTATATTCTATCGACAGTCTCTGCTATTAAAGGTGTACGCGGGAGTTATTATTCTTTCTATTTTCTATCCTAAAAGAAAGGGGCGCCAATGCGGGTGACACTGAACTTGGCCAAAAGCGAGCTCTGCTGGTGGTTTATGGCGTGTGCACATTCATCTTCCTGCCGCCACTGACCTCACGGTGAACCAGGAGCGAAGACATTTTTCTTCAGTCCCTCTCCCCTTTATTATCTGTCGAGTTCTGTCTTTCTCTTCATCTCTAGCTCGCTCTCATCAATTGAAGTGTGCGGTTGTTATGCGCATTTCCTCAACACAACTTCTGCATTATCGTTAATATTTTTCCCCGAGAATAAAACGTTTTATATGCCGTTAACATAACATAAAACAGTATGATTGATTATGATAACTACATGTGCTTAAACTTGTTGATAATTATAATTGCTCACTCTTAATCAAATTTAAAGTAACAAATATTAACGAATTATTTATACTGATAACTCAAATATATTCTGAACAATAGAATATTTTTGCAGATAGATAGATAGATAGATAGATAGATAGATAGATAGATAGATAGATAGATAGATAGATAGATAGATAGATAGATAGATAGATAGATAGATAGATAGATAGATAGATAGATACTCTGGTGTGTTGCTTTCATCAATATCTGAAGGGTGAGATTGATACCACCAAAAAGTAAACAAAAAGTCATACAAGTCATTACTTTATGCAGAGCAAGGAGCAAAAATATTGTATTAGGATTGTATATAAATAAACACATAGGACAAAGAAAGACTCTTTTAATAATCTTTGATTACGGTTATTTCAATGCCTTAATGGGTTATTAATTTGTTTTAACTCAACTGAATATTTCTCAGGATGTTGAAGGTGAATTTTACAGTGTAATGTGTAAAACGAGAAGATGCCAGTAAATAATATATACACGTTAAACCAACTAAAATAATTAAAACACTATAATGTAGATGGCAGATTGAATAATGTAAATGGCAAATTATATATTTGCCAGCAAACTTTATACAAATGTTGACTTTATACAACAAAACATTTTTAAACAATGGATTTAAGGTCAGTTTAATCCAGTGTATTATTATCATGTACACTTGACCCAACTCCTTGTATAAAATACTATACGATATCATATGGTGATACCACTAAAAAGTAAACAAAAACTCATACAAGTCATTACTTTATGCAGAGCAAGGAGCAAAAATATTGTATTAGGACGAAATCAGATAATCAAAGAGCAATCCCCATCTGCCCGGCAAGGTATTCACAATGCAACCCCCTCAGTTAGCGCATTAGGAACTGAGTGCATTTCTGTTCTGCTCATTGTTTTACCGAGAGCCTAAAGAAAACTTTGTTACAGAAGCGTAAAACCGAAATAAACCAACTTGAACTTACCAAGAGCTGGCCCTCGGTCGCCCGAGTAAATCCGGTCGGTGCGTTTCCAGTCCATAGCAATCTGGCTTGTTAGAAGCAGTTGCTGGTGCAGTCAAGAAACACCTCTACGGTCTACAGAGAAAGAAAACGAAGCTCCACGTCAGTGCGATTTAACTTTATATGCCATATAGTGTCGACTCCCCAAAACCATAAAACTGACTTTAATTGCCACCACGTGACTGTTTTATGGCAAGTGAGCCTATCTGCAGTCTCAGTCCGAGTGAATTTTACGATCTAATTCGTGGACCAAACACTCATTATTTATCTTACCAGCCAATGTCGTGGATCCAGAATGGTAAAGGGTCTAGTAAAGTTTTCCCTCAAAACCGTGATTTCCAAAGAAGGAGGAAAATTAATGAATGAGAAGAGTGCTGGACACTGGGCGTGGATGCACACTCTCATTGACAAGTTGGCAAGGGGACCTAAGAAATTGGCGCGTCATATACCTGTTGATTCAACAATGTTGAACAACTCAAAGTTTTAAAGAAATGATCGAATTAATCTAAAGCACCGGAATTGTGGAATATTTATTTAATTTCAGTTTTACATGACCAATGCTTAACCTCACATTAATAATTATTAAACTGTTGTGTGGTACATTTCACGTTCATATAAACAACTTTGCCTAGCACAAAACGCAGCTGAATGGAACAAATCTTACAAAAGGATTTAATATTGCAAGTAAAAACTTTATTGTTTTTCAACATAGCATTTATTGTTGGCAATACTGTTTCTAAACTTCTTTATTATTAAATTTTCACAAGAAGGTAAATTAAATAAATAAATCGAGTGACACATCTGCAAATATTTGAAAACGCAAAACACACAAACATTCAAATTGAAAAATGTTTACGAAACTGTCAGAGCGGAACGTTTTTATCAATACGCAGCGATGACTGAACAACACGAACAAAACAGGTCTACTTCAGAGTGACATAAAATACAATCGGTATTTGATACTGATTTTAAATAAATAACCTGTAAAATACATCAATTCATATGTACAAACTTCAAGACAAACAAACGACAAAACCGTTTTAAACTTAATTTTGTAAGAATCTAATATTTTACTCATTTGCTTATCCAGTGTACTTTAGATATTTAAAGTAATTGTATTCAAAGCTTATATATTTATTTACACATTCCTTTTACTAAGACAATGCAAATATCTATCCACATTACATGAAAACACAGAAGAGAAGTTTACTTTTTTATCCAAGGCCGCTACACAGGGCGTTTACTTTCACATAACAAGTGGAAAGTTCTTTTGTGAAAGACATCCCCTTGAGAAACACACACTTAGAATAAAGAAACGCGCGGACGCACACACATCAGCATATATTCAAACACTAACACATTTTATAGAGGTAAATATACAAATATACATTTTAAGGCCGGTATCCGCTTCCTGCAGCTGCCATATTCATACTTTTCAGTTTGTTGTCTTTTTTCCATTTCATTCTGCGGTTTTGAAACCATATTTTGATTTGTCTCTCTGAGAGACAAAGAGTGTGTGCAATCTCAATTCTTCGGCGACGTGTCAGGTATCGGTTGAAGTGGAACTCCTTCTCGAGCTCAAGTGTCTGGTAGCGCGTGTAGGCTGTCCTGGGCCTTTTCCCCTCCGGTCCGGCCAAATTATCTGTTATACATGAGTGGGACATTTTCACTTTTATTTATTATGCATTTTAATACACCTGGTATGCACGACACAAAAAGTGAACTGAAGTAGCATGTATGCATCAAACTCAACGCATGCGTAACATTCTCTCAAGGGCAAAAAGCATAACATTTATTTCAACTATTTTTTTTCAAATTATCTCTAACAAATTATAATTTATTTAATAACACAACCAATTTATTAATCCACAATCGACAAATTAATTAATCATACAATTGCACTTCGTTTTTAAAGAATATAATCAGTTTTAAATAATCTTTAGAAACATGGAGTCATTAAACCACAGGATGCATATTTGGCATATTTTTCGATATAAATATCCAAAATGAAAAACTAACTCTAATATTTCAATATTCATATAAAGTTAAAAAAAATTTTACTGTAAAACTGGCAGGAGGCCAATCACACCTTACATTAACACTCAGAACACAAACGCAATAAAAGCAAACCTCTACGTTTGCCGTTTACCATGACTTATATGAAGTTTTCGCATCCATGGATAAATCTGCGGTGCCTCCGACACATTCTGTGAAGCTGTCTGTCCACTACCCGGTGGCTTTTCTTCCTCCATAGAGCTTGACACTTTCGAAACTCCCTCCCGGCTGAGAACCGTTCCAAAGCTTTTGGACGCAGAGCCAGCGGTGCTAGATAGTGAGATTTTCAGGGCGCGGTGTGACTGCTCACTGACAGGAGAGTTGGCTAAGGATGAGCAGGGGAGATGATCAGAGGAAGGTTCAGCGCTGCTAGCGGTAACCGGCTGATTGTACCGGACAGGCGTCGCAGTTGGACTGTCTTTGTAGCTTTGAGTTCGCTCACCAGATGAAAGAAAGTGTCCGGGGCTGGAGTGCCCGGTGCTGAGATCCATTCCATTGTAGCCACAAGCATACCTGCCCGAATGCATGCCCGTAGAATCTCTGCATTGGCCACTAGAGTTGTGATCTCCATAGTTATGTAAGGGATAGTCCACGCCATTTGGATAGCGACCGCAAAATGAATTCACGAAATAAGAGCTCATTGGTTGACAATTACCTTATTGTTACTTTTACTTACTACAACTACCTTTATGGAGAAAACAATGCTGCCGTTTGAGTTTGATTTGTGTCTCTTGGTGGTTTTGAGCTTCTATTGCACCCTTGCACTATTTATGATGAATTATGGAAATGAGTGAGACACAGACTTAATGCACCCTTACGTAGGCTTCCAAATATGGGCTATGGCTTAGAATCACGTGTTTTTTGTTGACCAGTCGTAAATCCTATTCTGTGACCTCCAGCGGTAAACTCAGACGTAAGCAGGAAATCAGGGTGGAATTGTTAGGACACGGGAGCGCGCAACAACAGTTTTGGCGAACTAGCAGTTAAATCGCTTGTTTGTAGATGGTAGCCGTGCGCCACCCTCTGGTTAGAGTCGGGACTACCTAAACCATCAGACTGGAGGCGAGCAAGCGATGGGGTCATTCAGAGGGTAACGACTCTGCGGTAGAAAAATTGTATCTGCTGAAACAATGCGCCGTGACCTGCACACTAAAACGCGCAGCAGAATGCCTGATAGACTCAGTGTCACTCGAAACTAGAAATTTGAAACATCAGTCGTCAACGAGAATAAAACTCAATACATAAAAGAAGATATACGCAGTTAAAATGGTCAAAGGACAAGCATAATTCCTTTATTATTTATAAAAAGACTAAGCTTTGTGTTTAATTAATTGTAAGACGGGCACTGGATTTTTTTTTATTTTAAAATATTATGCTTAAAAACATTCATGGGATGTTGTTAAATATGCTTAGTCAATCTCTTTTTTAATTTTTAAAGTGCAAGCAAAACGGCGATTTTTAACTAAGGGTTTACATTATTCATGATGTAATGCCTAATTGCTGTTTAGCATTTTGGGATTAAGCACAGCTGTCTATTAGTAGATTATATTCTAAATAATAACAACAACAACAACAATAATATTAATAGTAATGATAATAATAATGCATTTTACACATACATGCATACATACATACATACATACATGCATCCTATGGAAAAGTGCGAAGTAAGGTAGGTTGTAGGCTACTTTGTGTTGGTGTGTAACACGAACAAAAAAATATCTATAAAATATCTATAAAATCCAATGTAATGTCATAGAATAAAAAGTAATAGGTTTTTCTCTATGGGTTCTGGCAATATACAAGACAAATCTGACTACAACAATGTAAAATTTCATTAAAAAATTGGAAAGCAGCGGAGACTAACTTTCAGAGAACCTCTGGTGATCAGCAAACCTTTTTCCATGACCAGCTAAAATAACAGGAAAACAGGAAAAACATCAACAGAAGTATATGATGAAAAAAACAAACAAACAAGGAATGCCACGACTAAGAGAAAACCTGACATTAGTTGGTGAATAGAGACGCCTATACTGTGTGTAACCAGTAAAATATAGAAACTGTTATTAACCTCGCAATTATTGAATACACATTGAAAACATTGTAAACCCCTTATTAGACTCAATAGACATCATATATATATATATATATATATATATATATATATATATATATATATATATATATATATATAAACAATTCCATTTATTTGACACTGACTTCTTGAACATTTGTTAACATTAGCTCCGACCCCACAGTTCCCGTCGAACATTCTGCTTGCTTGGTCTAAATTTGTGGCTCGCGTTTCTCATAACAGCGATCGAAGATAATCCATATCGTTAAAATCAATTAATTTAACTTAGACTCTCACTATTAGAAATAAAGGGACAAAAGCTGTCGCTGGGGTTGTAGGCCTATTTATAAGGTAAGCTAAATGTTACCATGCTACTCCAGTAGCCTATACCAAATGGTAAACCTTAAAAGTACAAAAGTGTACTATTTATATTGTATGAGCGACTTATGCTGCGTTCAGCCAAATTGGAGTAATATCTGAGTCAAATAACATAGCCTCTTCCAACATATTTCATATCACGCTTTGTGAAGGCTTTTCCATCAAATGAAACAAAGGTGTTTGCACTATTGTTAAAACATCAACATGCAAGTTTTAAAATTACTTAAAGCCCTAAGTATATTATATTGTTCCTCAATTTTGATTTAGATAATTCAGATGATTTCCAAGATCTGAAAAGATGTCGTGCCATTTCACTCGCGAGCATGGGTTAGCCGGTGTCCTGAAGAATTTAGCTCCAAACCTAATCAAGCACACCTACATGTAGCTTTCTGATTATGTTGAAGACACGAATTAGCATGTTCAGGTGTCTGATTGACGTCGGAGCAAAAGTCAACTGGACACCGGCTCTCTTCAGACCGAAATTTGCCCAAGCTTGATCAAGTGAACTCAAACGTGCTGCCGCTAAGAAAGTCATACAACTCCACCTAGTGGTGGTTTTGAAGTCCACCGAATTGCTTGAACACATAGATTAACTAAAATTCCTATGGTTCATTTTCTAGACAAATGTTTTATTTTTACAGATATTTCAGGAAGATTTTAAGGTTTTTCTTTCTATTTAAATGTTGTCTGTTCATAACGTTCAGAATTCATCTTGAATAATCAATCAGGGGGGTATTATTCATTAATTCATTTTGGCCCTTTGTTATTCTGGAATCGCCTTTAATAATCTGGAGTCGCTTCAACTTATCCAGCACAAGTTTTACGCAGCGGATGTCCTTTCAGCTGCAACCCATCCCTGGGAAATACCCATACACCCATTTGCACACAAACACTACGGACAGTTTTAGTTTACCCAATTCACCTGTACCTCATGTCTTTGGACCTGTGCATGGGGGAAACCGGAGCACCCGGAGTATTCAAAATATCAAAGCTTTCCAAAACAAGAACCACAGTTCTTAACTTAGCGACACAGGGGTGATGCTTAGTATATAGGCCTAGTACCATGAGAAAAGAAACAAAATTATATCTAATGATATATTACATGGGCCTGCTGATTTGCATAGACATATCAAATACAAATAAGGTTTTGCATAAACATAAAACAAATATAAAATCCGTTCCGAAAAGATAGATTGCAACTTTCTGAGCAAAGACATTTTAAACAAGACGTTGAAACGTTTAGGCTACTTATTGCCATTTGAAAAACAATGTTTATCCGTTCACCCGAATCCTTACCTTATGCTTGTCTGTTGGTCCTAGAATGCAAGAAACATATGTTATTGACGTCAAATGCTTCACAATCACAGCTTTTCGGAGAGCCTCTCGATCGTGCCACAGCGTTCCAACACTAAACCTATAGCCTATATTTTTAACTGTTAGCTAATGTCCACTTCGATGATAGCGAATAGCTTTTAGAATATCAGCCAACCTCAAAATTGAAATGAAAAAAAGAAATGAACAGCCAACGATATTATGTAGAATAGCGGAGGTAAAAGAGCTAGACTAAGCAAGGTCAGACGAAGAATGCAGCTCTATTTTGGGTTGGGGTGCACACGCATAAAAAGTTAACGTTTATGTGGTCTTAAAACACGTGACTGACTTGTAACCAATGAGAACCAGCGGCAGCTCGTAAAGTTGTATGGCAAAGTAGTAAATTTTCATAAACAATAACAGATTTATAGCTTCTCATGAGACGCTGGCTGAGAAGGGGGCTGGATTGCAGTCAGGCGCCATTTTACAAAGAGGAGGAGCACAAAGAGAAAATCTCGACATTACGACGAATTTTTAAAAGCAAAGCTTCTTTCCATCCTTTATTTTGTTATATTGCAATTAATTAATTTATATTGACTTATTTAATATGTAGGCCTACAGCATATTTGGAAATTTTTGTGTAGTAAAATATAGAATTATATTAATTACATGACAGGAACATACACATTTTATATTCAAATATAATAAATGATAAGGCTACAAATAATAAACTATATAATAAACTGATAGGCTACATTATACTGATAGATTTATCGATAAGCAGACCACAACACTTTTTTTCTAAATTATGTTTTTGCTCTAAAACACACAGCATATATATATATATATATATATATATATATATATATATATATATATATATATATATATATATATATATAAGATAATATAAAGATAAAGTGAGATATTCTAAAAAAAAACATTTACGATTTAGGCGTCCACTGTTCAGTGTTCTCTTAGGTTTGAGAACTTTGAATGGCAGAATGGCAGATCGTAGTCACACGATCACTACTGATGCAGTAGGCTATTTCCTATAACAACACAACACTGGAGACAGAATCGGGTTTCTCTAACAGCTTAGACTATAAATCTTGATAGCAACACATAGAGAAAAATCAATTATGCAACCAGATATGCATAGAAGATGCCCTATATTAAGACACACTGACCAAAAAATTTATTACCTCACAGCAAAGATGTTAAAACCTTTACGACTTCACACGTGCACGAACTGCTGCATCGACGGATTAATGGTCGCAGTTATTGGTCACGTCTTCACACACCAGATATATAAGATTGCAGGTTGTCACAAACGTTAAAGTAGCCTACCTTACATTGTTATCTGAAGATAGTCCCGAAGAGACACATCATCCTGTTGAAACAACTGTTTTTTTCTGTTGACGAAATGTAGGCTATTACAAAAAAGCTAAATTTCTGAAAAGTGCTGAAGTGAAAGAGTGAATGACGGCTGCGTGACTATGATACATATTAATTCGAAATTTAATTCGAATTCATATACTTCTTCGTCTTGCTGAGTTGTTGAGCCGAAATACTTGATGTTTTTACGAGCTAGAGTGATACAATCCCGTTATAGCTAGAGTTCATATTAAATCCCACTTCACTGGCATTGGGCCCGTGAAGTCACATGATCAATCCGCAAACACAGACAGCCAATAAATATTGCTTTTGCCTTTTCATCAGCTTGCAAGGACAGCAGTTATTTCCATAAGTGAGTCAATTGACAACAAATCTTAGTTCTTTAGCAGCATAGATATAGAAACAGTTTATAAAACGTACAATCTTCGAAGTGTATTTTAAAAATATGTTTTAAATGCAATGATTTGGTATTAATGCAATTACTTCTGAATAGTAATGTTTTAAGTCACCGATTAGAAGTTTGTTGTTGTTGTTTTCTTTAAAAAATGCATTGTAATTAATTTTTTTGCGCGTTTCATTGCTGTAAAGTATAAAATATATATAGATATACCGGATTATGTTTTTTTTCTTGCTAATATTTTGTTTTAAAAGTCGCGCCTTTCAACATTAAGCCTTTGCCACAAGAAATTCGTTATAACTAAAACTATGCCTACTTAAAAAAGCACAAATTTATTAAAGTGCGTTTAAACAACGCAGCAAAACACACAAGGCTTAACGATTGAAGCATAGCGATTCTAAAATTGCAAACCAGGTCTACTTTCTAAATATTCTGGCACGTCTGTTATTTTCACAAAGTAACACTATATTACCTTGCCGGCACTTTCCTTACTTAATACTGGGTTTTCAATCAAGGATCTGTGTTTTATAAATAGGCTTAGCCATTACTTTTTAGTGTACTGAGATTGTTTTTTAAAAAAGAAGAAGAAAATAAAAAGAAGGTGCTACGTTTAATTCTGTTTTTCTTTTGAAGTTTTTCTCTTCTACTTTTTTAAGAGAATGTGTTATGGTTATTGTATGTCTTTATTAGCTACCAAGTAAATATTTTCGTCGCCATCTGGGCAATATAGCGTAAACCTAATTGGGTTTTACACAATTTAAGATTGCTATACACAAGGTTGGTTTACACGTTGTAATATGTTTAGTCAAATGTTTTGTAAAATGTAATTATAACCCAGTATATTTTTTTCTTTACAAGTTTATGCGAAAATTTCATATAAGTATGCAATAACTAAAATATACATATAAGGAATTACGTCGTCTTCACTAAACTATAAATTAAAATACGAGATTAGGCTTTTATTATACTCAAAAATAATGTTCATGATTCACTGTACAATTATACCTGACTATTATTTTTCTTATTAGTATTATTGCTAATATTATTAAAATTATTATTATTTTAAACATGTACAGTGTAGACATAAATGAACAGACAGCACAACTTTTTTTGGCTTGTGATGCTACTGCAAATGCTGAAAACAAGTAGCAATTATGATGTTTTACTGACATCAAGTGGTCAGAGGTTATACCAATACAGACACAGTTAAAAGAGTAGTTTATTTGTGTTTGGACGTCCGCGATTACCTCTGCAAGTGAAAATCAATACTTAAATAATTTCCTTTTTACATTTAAAATGATTGTTTTTGACTATTTTGTTTCTAGAGAATTTGACTCCATTTCACAGTCTATCTATAGGGTTCTGTAAGGAAATACTGTAATGAGAGGGCAATTAAACTAGATTATATCCGCTCTCTTTTTGTACTGAAAGCCAGGGTGGCTGAAGAGAAAACACCTCTCCAAATGGGTGACGGACCTCTGAAAACGGCATAATTGTGCCTGGACAGCCATAAAGCAATTGAAAGCGGAATGCCAATGTCTATTGCCGTGTCTGCGATTCTGCCTTTTCTCTGTGGTGAGGCCTTTGAAGTCAAAGTCCGTCCGCTAAACCCGTGTCACTGACTACTCAGTAGGACTTATAAAACAAAGGACAATATTAAACATACATATTTGCATTTTAAGGTTGGTTAAAGTACAATCAAAAATAACCAGCCCTAACCCCCGGTAGCACCTAATCGCAAAAGCTAAAATAAAAATCTCTCGTTTTAACTCCACAGAATCATGCACACGTGGTGCATTGTTCACTGGCCCCAGCTGTCGACTCTCATAATATCTGTTGTGTTGCGTTTTCTCGCCTCGCAGCGCTTTGCACACCATAAACGGTTATAGCAGTAATTGTCTTTTATGGCTGGATGCGGCTAACAACCTCATCTGCCAGACCAGTATACAGGCCTGCTCTCTCCGAGTTCAATCTCGCTTAGGCTTGCTTTGGAATACATTCCTTAAGGACTGATGGCAGGTCTATTTACACACACACACACACACACACACACACACACACACACACACACACACACACACACACACAAATTAATTATATATATATATATATATAATTATAAGAATATTTATCAAATTCACAGTTAATACAGTTAGTATATTTTGGTTCAGAGTTTTCAGAGTTTTATTTCACAGTTGTATCTATTAAAGTAAGAGTTTGGTCACCTAAAATCTTTAAGAATAAATATAATACCTATAATTCAAACGACTTATTGCAAAAATAAATGACACTCTACAAAAGGTCAAGTAAATTGTATATGTTGTTTCTTTAGATTTTTATCATGCCTTACAATTTTATTTAATACCTCTGAAGGCGTTCACGTTTCTTCCAAAATAGCTCTCATCATAAAAATGTAATGAATCTCTTCGTTTATGCTTACATAGCACACAAAGCAAAAAATAAAAAATAAAAAAATAGATAAAATTCAATAAAAGAAAAGAAATATAACTGGACAATAATTCTACCTAATTTAAATTCAATACATTTATTTTTCTCATGTTACAGAATGCACATGTATTCAAAAAACACAAGCATAAAACAATCTATAAAACCTTACATTTACAAGTAACGTATTACATATTTTTTTCAACGTAAATGCTATTAAAAATATAAAACAGACTACAAAATTTAAGGCAGACATATTTGGAGATATGAAATGCTTTTATTATTCAATAAATAAAATCACAGAATACATCTAAGAAATGTAAACAAATAAAAACAAATAAAAAAAACGCAATGAAGGTCAACAGACCATGAGGTATTTGTATAGTTGCCTACAATACTTTTGTATCTACTGTTCATGTTTCACTTGTTCCCTGAAGTTCGTAAACTTCATCCAATATCATATCTGTTGATATGGCATGAAAAATTTGTTCGAATAAAAAAAGGCAGTGAAGTGACTATAGGTAGTGGTAATGACATTACAAAAGCCAGTTCTTAGGCCACATTTTGTAAATCTTTGCAGAAATGCATGAACTTAAAATCCTCGGTCTAAAGCTACATTATTAGCTAATTAGCGTCTGAAATATGCAACGCTGATATACAATATACTAATCTAAAACCGAAGGGGATAGCACAGTTGGATTCAACGTTCATTCATTCCTTAAAAAATCTAACCTGAATAATACCGTTTTTTTTTTAATATTCAAACCTGCGTCGAAAAACAAACTAAAGGAAGTTGTGCCTTAACATGAAACCAATTACGACAAACAAACAGTCAAATTTACTTATGAAACAACTTGATCCCAGCATGCTTTAAGACATTTATAATTTAGGCTACTTAAAAAAGGACACAAAATCTAACGTAAAATCCCACAACAAAATAAATTCAGTAACAGGATGGATCATCTCTCATCCTCACCTACATGAAGTGCTTTAGTCTTAGTCTTCCTTCGTTTCATTTTTGTTGAACTTTTTCATCTTCATCCTGCGGTTTTGGAACCAAATTTTGACCTGTCTCTCCGTGAGGTTCAGTAGACGGGCGACTTCGTATCGCCGGTCGCGCGTGAGGTAAGTGTTAAATAAAAACTCTTTCTCCAGCTCGAGGATCTGGTGCTTAGTATAAGGACAGCGTTTTTTACGCGTCGAGCTCGCATGAAGCCAGTTGGACACAGGGTTTTCTGGGAAAAGGTAGAGGGAAGGGAATGAGGGTATCGAAATTATAAGCGAGCAGCAATGTTCTTTCTTTCATTCATTTTAAAATTTATATATATTTAAAATCCAGGCAGCTGCATAAATCACAGTTAGTCAAACAAATCTCCCACGCTTGTTACAATCCCAAATCTAATGTTTAGCAAAATAGTTCGAACTATTTTACAGAAGGCAACTACATGAGAATCGTGACATCACATTATCAAAAGTACTATAAATTGATATCATTGTACTTATATATCCGACAATTTGGTCAGCTTACCTGGATCAGCGCCCGGTTTCCCCTCGATGTCGCCACTCTTTTCAGCAGTTCGGCTAGATTCTGCTTCTGTTTTGGTAGAACATCCTCCGTTTGTGAAGACTTCAGGCTGTAGTATAGTATGCGGACTGTATTCCGTGCCGTCATCATTCGTTTCATTCGTATCGGATTTGGCATGATTGTGATTAACCGTCGGTGGCTCAGTTTGAGGTAACCCACATGCAGAATCCAAGAGCCAAGACTGCACATAATCCCCAACTACTGGAGGTTGCGCATGGGGCTGATATACTGACGGTACACCAGTGGAGAAGTGCGTTGGGATGTGCCCCCAATCTGAGGTACCATAAACGGGTTGCTTTGCCGGGAATGTGCAGGGGCCGAGGTCTGAAAGGTCTGCAGGTAGAATGGTTGGCCTGTGCTGAATAAGCCCTAAACCCGAGGAGAAGCGAGTCTCCTCGCTGCCCGGTATAACAATAGAGTCAACGTAGTATCCTGTCAAAGCTCCGGATGTCGACATGGCAGGAGCGCTCTCTCATGCACACACACACACACACACACATTAAAAATAACACACACATACAGTGACACACTCACAAAATAGCAATATGTGAAAATGGAGAGGCAACTTCCCCCTCTCAAAGCCCCAGTCAGATAATAAGTTGAGAGCAAAGTGCCATTTGATTGGGTGAAGTGACCACGTGACCACTGGTACGGGGGAAAATCGATCAAATAAAAAAAAGAAAAAAAACTCAGATTTTAATAACTGAAAAAAAAACATTTCTATCCAGTGGAAACAATTAACAAATGGGACATAATTAAGACAAGAATATCGTTGAGAAATTAACCATCTAAAAAGAAGGAAATGTTCTCTCATTTATTGGATAGGACAATAGAAGCACAATCTAAATGTTGCATCGTTTACAAAATTTTACGCTCTGTCTGACATAAATTAACTAAATTCGCACAACCTTACCGCAGACCAACACGGACCGGATATTTTGACAGAATGTAGACTACTGTAAACAATCATACATTTATCTGAGATACCTGTTTATGTATATACTTCTTTTAGATTTGGCAATAAAAACAAAAGTATTCCAATTCAATATATATTTTTATTTTATGTACATGAAAAAAAAAATTGTTTGCAAATGAACATGGTCAGCAAAGTCAACAGCATGGGCGCCTACTGCTATATAGGCAATACACAAAATTCCAGGTTGGTTCTACCCGTTTTAAAATAAAATAACATTTTATAAACCATGGACAAAAACCAACCACTAGGTACATTTTTTTAAATAAACATTTATTTAAATAAAAACTGAGTTTTGTGAATAATAATTTAATAATCCAAAGAACCTGCACAACAACAATAATACTATAATTATTGTTTGGTCGATGTTAAAGAATTTTAAAAAATCAAATCACAATAGGAAGACTGATTTTAAAATGTAAATAGTATCTAAATAAACGTGCGTTCTTTATGCGCGAAAATTATACTCTTGAAGAGTACATTATTACAAAATGTTCGATATCAATGAGAATACTACAATACACGTTTGGCTGAGCATAAGTTAAAACAGAAGTAAGCTATACAAGAATATGGAAGCTAATTTGGAAATAAATATATTAGCTACCAATAGTTAGCCTAGATCGAAACTAGGCTACAATAATGTCAAATTGTTACACGGAATTTTATTTTATTAATTATTAGTATTAATAGAGTAGCATAAATACATTTTATTTTAGGTATTTTAATAACAACACTCAGTGTAATTGTAACACAAAACAACTAATCAGTGTAATGTGTCGTTACACGTAAATTTAAACACTGCAAAAAAAAAAAAAAAAATTGGAGATAAATTGAGTACATTTCTGTGTACCACTTCACAGTACGATTTCATTAGTTAATGTATTCAATCAACAAAACGTTTATTACAAGTTATTTATTTTTTGTTAGAGTTAATGGAAATAAGGTTTTTCATTGTTTATTTTAACTCACAGTGCATTAACAGTGCACAGTGCATTTAGATTTTAAAAATGCATTAGTAAATGATAAGCAGTGATTAATAGTAAATACTTCAACTAATAAAACCTTATTGCAAAGTGTGTCCTATTTATGTCGCTTATATAAATCATAGGGAACAAAAAGAATACACAATTTAATTAATGGCACATGCAAACAAATTTAACATGATTTCTGAACTTTCCTTTTAGAATGCAAAATGTTTGTAAATTAAAATAAAATAACGATATTTTAGCTTGTTTGAATATTATTCTCAACAGCCATATTAGTACACAAAATATCAAACCTGCATCGGCTCTTATAACAAATATTATTCAGAAACAAATATTTGTTCACACAGTTTAGTTATTCATCAGTGATAAACAGAAAGACATTTCACTGGATTTCACAATTTTACAGCAGGAAACGCCACTACTTTCATAAATAGAGGGGAGAAAGAGAAAAAGACGGAAACAGCATGACCATATAAGCCATAAACTGCACAGGGGTGTTTGTTAACACGGTCGCGTTTTATCACGGGCGCCTATTCATGTTTTTTAGACACAGATACATTTCCTTTAGCTGTTGCTACTGGAGTGCCATAAAGTCTTGTTTTTGTGATCAGCCAGTTCTTATAAAACTAGGCGGAAGCCAGGATGGCAGTCTCTTGAGCACAGTGGCATACCACCGAGGTCGCTGTCGTTTAAAGCAGGCAAGGCAAGATTATGGTATATTGGACGTAACCGAGGCCTTGTTAAGTCTGCTGTCTGCTTTGAGTTCGACAAATCATGATCTCCCATGAGTTCGTTTCATAGCAAAGCAATAAACCAAGTACAAATATACATCTAAATAAGTAGCCTAATTCGATAAAATAGCTCAGTTACGTTTAGTCAATTTTAAAAAGACTAAAAACAAGCAACTACTGGTAATTTAAATGCTTTTAAGATTGTTTCTTTGTCCACTAACATATCGTAGGTTATACAGAGGAATGAAACTGGGGCAATTAAGACAGTTTCACGTTGCAGAGTTTGAATGTAATCCCAACAACATGAAACTACCTAAACCACTCGACAGTCTGGTTCAAATTTTCAGACAAAACAGTTAATGATATCTGAACAAAACGCCGTTCTCCACATTCTTTAATGCATTTTTATCAAACAATTAGCGATAGTTCAAGCACCTTACCTCTGTTGGCGTAAAATTGTGACCTCGGAAAAATACTGTTTTGCGTCCTAAATCTGAACGTCTTAATTCTTGCCGCTCTCCTGTCTGCACTGAGGGTAGTCACTCGGAAAAGTGACGAGCCTCATAAAGTAGCCAGCAATAAAATACCACAAAAGTAGACTAAACTCACCATTATACTGCTGTGTCTATACATGTTGTGGCTGTTCGCTGCTTAAACACATTCCCGCCATAGATATCAGTAAACTTTATAAATACTTTGAACATTATGGATTTAAACCAAAAGCTTTACGAAAGGAAAATATATAAAGCTAAAGACAAAATATATGGGTTTGTACAAAATAATTGGTAAAGATAATACATTATCGTCGACGGAACCTTCATATTCACATCCATAACCTTTGTTTCATTTAGGTTTTGGTTTAAAAAGTTCATTAGGTTTTTAAAATGTTCTTAGCTCTGAACCATTCTCTTTATTGTAATTCAATACATTTTATAAATCAAATAATAATAAATAATAATAATAATAATAATAAATAGTTATTCTATGGAATTACTCTTGAGTAAGTAAATAAATAAGTAAACCTATCGGGAAACGTGTAGGCCCACACAAGAACAACCGTATTAGTACTTATTTTGAAATTAAATTTATTATTTGTTTCGCCCAATGTTGGCGGAGCTACATCAAAATGTATATTGATAAGATAACCAAGACTGTCAAACGTCCATTCTTAAAAAGAGGTTAACTTATACTACAAGTTACAACCTAAACGTATCTGGTTATTTAAATTATAATTAACTGATTACAAATGACAATGGCTAATATTTGACAATTGACAATGGCCTTATAAATTAAATAGGCTAATCAAATTTAAACACAGTTAGAAGCGTTGTTTAATGACAAAGGTCAACATACAACATTGAAACAAATATAGGCCTAGCATTGCAATAGTTGCAGTTTATTAAAAATTTCTAATTTACTCATTATTTACCTCTATGGGTTTCTTTTTTATATTGTAAGCAAACAAAGATATTTTGAAGAATATTACAAACCTGAAACCACTGACTTTCACGGTAGATCACCTTATTTTGTGATCGATCAACCGAAAAACAAACTGAAATGGGTTTGGAACACGTGAAGGATGAGTAAATGGTGGACTATCCCTTCAAGTACACATCAAAAATTTTTTTACAGATAGCTCAATTATGATAAGAAATTATATTGAGGCCTTTGCAAAAGATTCTTTGTGTCAGTTGACAGGTCATTTGCTGAATTTTAAGTGTTACATGAACATTTTTATTTACTAGACAAATATAAATGTGAAACCATGAAATATGGGATATACCAACAAACGATTTGATGATATTACACAATTTTAGTATTTGATCTTGTAAGACGACGCTGTTTTGCTGCATTGCAGGGTTACTAAATAAAATGTAGCTATTGTTAATCTACACCTCTATTTGATGTAAAATAAGCTTCTGGTGGAGCTACTTTGTTTCACTGTTTTATAAGCAGCTGATACTAAAGCTACTGAAAATAGCTAGACTAGTTAATCTGCTGCTTGTAGCTAGCTAGCCAACTCCCCAACACTGTGTTTGCATGCCAAACAAACCTTTTATTACAATTCGCGTTTAATCGGCATTAGCAATAATCAGTAAAAAAGACAGAAATATATTAAGTACTACATTAAAGGCTAGCTTCGCAAAAAAAAAAAAAAAAAATACAGTTTATTTCACCGACATTGCTACAATCGTGTAGTATAAAAACAGGACTAATATTTGTATAAAAATAGCACGATAGTATTTTCCAATATTTTAATACACTGTCAAAATTATTCTTATATAGCCTAATACATGACATTAAGAGCAAATCAAGGCAAAGCCATTTCAATAAAGCATCATCAACAATAGCCCAGTGTTTGTTTTTCACACTGCTGGCTAATGAAACGTAATTTAAAAAACAAATAACGTTAATCAAATGTGTTATAATGTAAACGTGTAGCCTATAACATTTGTAGCCTAAATATGTGTATGGACTGCAAACATATAGTGAAAGGGTTGTATAAATTATTTGTTCCCGGTTACGGGAAACTGACTTTTGATTAGCCTGTCGATCAGGTGCAAGATGCGGATGTTTTCTAGGCGGCGCTCCTGAGTTAACTAAATATTGTTTACTGCAGGATAAAAACTAAGACAAGTTGTTATTCTTCAGTATATCTCTATTCTTCTTTAAGTCTAGATGTATGTTTGGCGTATGGACAATTTTTCCGGTAAATCTCCCGTTAGCCAGTTTGCTTAACTCTCATCCCATTATGTGGTACAGCACGTGTATTAATAAAGAACAACTGACAGCAGAATAGTAGCATAGCTAGATAGCTTTAGCGATTACCTTACTTTTCCTTTGCCACATTACACTGCGCACTGCCCGACCTACATGATATATTTTCCTGATGTGCTGATTTCCCAGTGTTTTTTCACTCATCTGGGGAATTTACAACACTAATACAATTTCTTTACTTTTCCATTGACAAATGTATTGCAATATGAAGTCTAAATAAACAGCCACAACAGCAGCCTTGTGTCTGCCTTTAGGTCTCATAGTCTATCTGGTCCTTTTGAGGTAGGCTACCATGATAACTTTATTGGATTCTAGCATATCACAACTCATCCCGTGATCCAAAAATCCTCAGTGTGGCTGACATCTGGCTTAGTGGACTTCCGCGGCTCAAAAAAAATGTGCACCTCTGTTTTGATGCACTGAGGAGATAAACAAAACGTATGCAACACGAACTGTTAAAAACCACATCGCCATATTGGTCACACGTATGGCTTGAGCAGCTACAATTGTCCGTTAAAGATAATAAACTTCACTTGCTGATGCTGTTCTAGTTCCCAGGTTCAGTCCTTTTAACAATTTGTGAATCCATGGACACTCGTTCTCTTCGGGGCTAAATGAACATGCCATTGACGGGGTAAATACAAGAAAGCTCATTGGTGGTCATTTGGTTGCTTTGACAAGCTGGGTGAGATGAAGTGCCCTCAGTCAATCCATTGCTGGCATTTTAACCAGTGAGAGCCTTGAAACAGAGGAGCCACACCCACCAACCCTTCGTCATCTGTCTGTAGAGTATCAGCAACTTTCAGAACCCAGAAAAGGTCAGACGTGGGACGGCTCTGTTCAACACGTCATGCTGAATTTAACCTAAAGCCCAGGGCTTAAACGTGCGGGTATGTGAATTTGCGGTTTCCACAAACGTTTGAAAATTGTGTATTTAAAACAGAGAACAGGTGGCTATTTTAAGATATACCAAATCTAATTTCGAGCTCAATCGAGTTTAATTTTAAATAACATTTAAATGTGTAAACAGTTTAGAAACAAATATAGATAATTCACACAAAATTGATCGAAACATTTTTTTTAGTTTGTACAAGTGGTCATTAGATTAAATATGGTTCGGTCGTCGAATGAGAGTAAATGATAACGAAACGATCCATTTAATTAATATTGTTTGTAGATTATTTGTATGTGACAAAATACTGAAATTTCTGGTGCACATATTTGAAATTGCCGTATTCAACATGTTATTAACAAAATAGTTTTAAAATCCAAATGCAAAAACAAAACAAACAATCCGCACGCAGTCCGATTCAAAGTTATTGACTTGATCGAATTCATGTTTAATATAAGTACGAAAGGGGGATTTAGTGTTTGGATAATCAAATTTCAATTCGAGGCAAAAATCTGGTTGCATTTTCACCTTTTTCATTTATAATAGGAAAATTATAAATATATACTTTATAAAAATATTGTGGTTTTATATTTTATTTATTACTTTAAACATATAAATAGTGATTGGGCTAATGTACAAATTAATTATTAATATAATTGAAGCTACTTTATGTAGTACATCTTCAGTAGCTACATACCTCGTGACAAATTACAAAAAACTTTGGTTTTTAGTTAGACTCCTGCAGACTAGAAATTGTATGAAATATTATCTTCAGGTTTGAACTTAAATTGGCCTGCACAAACATGCGCATGCATCCAACCTTACTTAACATTTGTTTATCTAAAATGTATCTGTCCTTTAGCAGTAGGCCTAGCAACCAAAGTTAAATTGTCAGATAAAAGCAGTCCTTTCGCACATTTCTTTGTTCTCAAGATCGAGTTCGCTGTAACAGAAACCTAAGAACAAACATCCCACATTGCATTACCAGCGGAAGCATTTATTTTTCACTAAAGAAAGTGCAACAAAAAAAAAAAGATAGAAAATAGTCTACACCTCTTTACCTCTTCATGTTACTGAATTATGGTGAAAGGCAAGATAATGTTTCACGATTACAAAAGTCAACGTTATGTTCTCCAGTTAATGTTCAGCCATCCCTGAAAGCTGGTATGATTCATTAAGGCTACAATTAACCGTCGATCAACTAACTATAAATCAGCTTGTCTATGTTTAAAAGAAAGTCACGTCTTTGATTTATCCTCAATGAATTGCTTAATCGACGCAGCATAGTTCTTTATTTGCAATGAACTTTTTGATCCGGTGCTAAAACTGAAATTTTAAAATCCTCTTATTGTATTCTATCAAACTGTATAGATTAATAGCAATGTAATATTAAACCGTGCTCTGGATCCAGACGGTTAGCGCTGTGGAATGTTTTAGCGACTGGGTTTAAAGCGCTTATTTTGGAAACACCTGCAGGGGACTTGGTTTAAATTTGTATGAATTAGCCAATAAAAAATAAACAAAGCGTTAAAAAGTTAAGTTTCTCCTGCACTATAAAATATTTGACCTACTAGCAAAAAAGTTATTGTGTATTAATTTCTATGTTAAATAAATTATTAATGCTGTTTGATTTCCTACAACTAATGTGCAGAAGACATAGCCGTTTTTACAGTAATTTACTGTAATCACAATGCCTGCCTTAATTTCACAGTAAAATTCTGAATACATTAAATTTAACAGTTTAATCCTGTAAAGTGGCACTAATGTAATTTACTGTGAAAAATTATAGTAACATATCGTGAAAATCTGTGAATTTATTACAGTGTGTCAATTAACCAATTGCACTGAATCATCTTACTCCCCCCCCCCCCCAGCACACACACACGCGCATATATATATATATATATATATATATATATATATATATATATATATATATATATATATATATATATATATATATATGTGTGTGTGTGTGTGTGTGTGTGTGTGTGTGTGTGTGTGTGTGTGTGTGTGTGTGTGTGTGCGCATTCACACACTCTCACCGGCCACCTTATTAGGTCCACCTGTCCACCTATTAATATATATAATTCTATATAATAACTATTAATATATAGCTAATATTAATAGAGGTACACTCTCAGAAATAGAGGTATAGGAGCTGTCACTGGGGCAGTGCCTTTTCAAAAGGTACATTTTTGTACCTGAAGGATCCATATTGGTACCTCAGTAGTACCTTTTTAGGTACATTTTGGCACCATTATGCACCTTTGAGGTACCACTGTGGTTTATTTAGGTACCTTTATGTCTGAAGGTGTATACAGAAGAGCATCTTTGAATGCACAACACATTGGATGGGGTACAGCAGCAGAAAGACCCCATCGGGTGCCACTCCTGTCAGCTAAGAACAGGAAATCAAGGCTTAAATTTGCACAGGCCCACCAAAATAAAACAATTTTGGAGAGACTGGAAAAATGTTGCCTGGACTGATGAGTCTTGATTTAGATAGCAGATAGCAGAGTCAGAATTTTGCATCAACAACATGAAAGCATGGATTCATCCTGCGTAATGGCGTAGGGAATATTTTCTTGGCACATTTTGGGCACATTAGTACCAATTGAGCATTGTTTCAATACCACAGCCTACTTGACTATTGTTGCTGACAATGTCTATCCCTTTAGCATCATGCTATCATGGGAAAAGGGACCAAAATCTCTGAGGAATATTCCCAGTATCTTGTTGATCTATGCCACAAAGGATAAGGCAGTTCTAAAGGCAAAAGTACTAGTACTAGTAAGGTGTACCAAATTAAGTGGTATGTGTGTGTGTGTGTGTGTGTGTGTGTGTGTGTGTGTGTGTGTGTGTGTGTGTGTGTACACATGCATAGAGGGTGAATAAATCTTTCCATTGATATTAGAATGGGTGAACATTTGGTCAAGACACAACTATGAATATCTGGAATCTGGGGTTTTAAAAAAAAAATTGTAAAAGCCTACTTCATAGTTGTCTAAAAAGAGCTTAGCAATTCACATTATCAACGATTTTGTGTTTAACCCTTTAACTGCCCCACCAAGAAAAATATTTTGGATTGCATTTCTTAACTCCTTATGTCGCTAGTTAACACACTCAATGCATTTATTTTCAAAACATCCCATAGTTTATAAAATATCAATCTCTACCAAATGGTTGATGTGTCCGTTTATGGAAGTTATAGATACTTATATAGATAAATCTGGTTTTGTGATATGTATATGTATACAAGTAAGTAAGAATTATTAGCCCTTTTCGAATTTTTTTTTTCTTTTTTAAATATTTTCCAAATGATGATTAACAGAGCAAGGATATTTTCACATTAGGCCTAATTATATTTTTTTCTTTTGAAGAAAGTCTTAATTGTTTTATTTTTGCTAGAATAAAAGCAGTTTTTAATTTTTAAACACTATTTTAGCGACACAATTATTAGTTCTTTTAAGCTTTATATTTTCTCGATAATCTACAAAACAAACCATCATTATACAATAACTTGCCTAATTACCCTAACCTACCTAATTAACCTAATTAACCTAGTTAAGCCTTTAAATGTGACTGTATAGAAGCTGTATAGAAGTGTCTTAAAAAATATCTAGTCAAATATTATTTATGGTCATCATGGCAAAGATAAAATAAATCAGTTATTTTAAATGAGTTATTAAAACTATTATGTTTGAAAATGTGTTGAAAAAAAATCTTCTCTCCTTTAAACAGAAATTAGGGAAAAAATAAACAATCTGTCGAATAATTCAGGGGGGCTATTAATTCTGACTTTAACTATATATATATATATATATATATATATATATATATATATATATATATATATATATATATATTAACATAAACACATACTCACACTGGGCATATTTCAGATTTCACAAAGATCTGAGACTGTAAAGATCCTCTTGTTCTATTGATGATCCACGGCCATGACATTGATCTCACGAGTGCCTCCCAATGAAGGCCATTTGAACCACATAGGGCAGTTTCATTGCGACCAAATGTACAACATATATGTATATAGGTAAACGCACAACAACCGAGGAAATGTTCCCAGGAAAATGTTTTTTGAAAGCCAACTTCAATATCTCTTTGTCTCTGTCCCTTTGGAATCGTGCTATAACCTTGGTTCTCAGACAGTTTATGGCACCACGCTGCAATTGCCCAAATGCTCCAGACACAGACAGCTTTTATGGCCGTGTTGCTGAAGCAACAAGGAGGATGTCCCCGTAATTAGGCGGATATTCCTCAGCACCTCAAAGGATGCGCCAGCCAGGCCAAGTCGCTCCGCAGCAAGCACTCATAAAGCACTTTCGCTCTGACTTTATTGCTCTTTGGCCGCCATATATGAACGCTACGAGTACGTTCATATAAAAAAATCATATGATAACTGCTAAAACTGAAACCACTTTGTATGTAGGCTACAACTGGCAGACAGCCACTGCTTTTTTCAACGGTGCGAGAATTTAATTAATAATAATTAAAAAATAAATAAAATGGATAAGCATAAGCTCATGGATGTGTATATATGTACAGTGCATATATATATATATATATATATATATATATATATATATATATATATATATATATATATATATATATATATATATATATATATATATACTGTACAGTTTAATGTGTGTACAAATATCATTTAATTAATTACCCTTTGATGATTTAATTTAAAAATGCATGTAACACAGATGACCGCAGATAAATTCATCGTAAACACCAATTTATCCTTAGCCCGAAAGAGTCTTAAAGATTTTTACTGGGTAAAGTTGCCAGTTATTAGTTCGAAAAAAAATACATTAATGATCTTTGGTTATTCTCCTTCAGTCAGTAAGCTACTTGTCTCTTTTATCTTTGTGTTTACATAATCTGCAACAAGTGAACACTTTGGAAGATCAGAAAATAATCTATACAGCTGCTTGCAATGAATCGTTTACATTCCCGAGAGAGGTCCGTAGAATAAAGTGTTATTGCTTAAAGACTTTCTGCAACAACCAGGGAGGTAATTCCACTTGCAAATCAAATAAATAATTAGGAAACTAGGATAAGTGGCAATCTATCTTTTTTTTTGTCAGCATTCCTCCACACAATTTAATATATTGTATCCTTGAAGAGAAATTTAAATGCAAGCGAAGTACTTGTTCAGTGTGCATCATGCTTACACTTGTATTGCTTTGTTTGTTGCCAGTGCAGAACCACCAGTATTATATGAATTTCACTATCCTTCGCTCTCTGTGTATGTACACAAGCGAATAGTGCCTTGTCGCGAATTTGAAATTTACCTCGTGAGAATATAGTGTAATGCGAACGCATTACAGCAGCTACTAAATTTCTACCTCTGTTGTTGTTATTGTTTATCCTATAGCAGTGGATTGGTACTGTAATACTGTAACCTGTCCCGATTTAGTTTTTTTTCCTTCATGCGCCGGTTCTGGAACCAAATTTTCACTTGGCGATCAGTGAGGTTAAGCATCCGTGAGAGCTGAAGTCGTTTTTCTTTGTTGATGTACACGCTGAAGAAGAATTCCCTTTCAAGCTCCCGAATTTGAAATTTAGTGTAGGGACACCTCTTCTTACGAAACCTGGGCCCACCTAAATGTAAATACACGTTAGATCAAATATATAAACTAATAGTGTACATATAGGCTACACAATATACATATATATATATATATATATATATATATATATATATATATATATATATATATATATATATATATATATATATATATATATATATATATATATATATATACATATATATGCATACACACGCACAAACACGCACACCACACAGAAACATTGATAGATAGACATGTATGTTAGTAAAAAAAAGCACTATAAAACTAAAAGTGAAATTTAAGCTACAGAAAATAACAAATTAATGGTAAGTAATCAAATATTATGCTTTTTTACTAATATATTACATATTACTTAGGCTTTTAAACAAGTAATACTATTATTGCTATTATTACTAATAAAGTTGTAATTATTGTTATTAATAAATCTCACATTAAATTTGCAGACACGAAAAGCATGTTACACTGTAATCAAACATGACAAATCCCTGCTCGTACTAATGCGTTTTAAAGGTAAAAATGTCCAATCTTTAAGTCTTTTCATGGCTAATTTCAATTCCAAGCACTTGAATTTCACAGTGTTAAAGTAGTCTAGGTTTTGTTGGGGAAATCTCAGGTCCTCCATAAACCTTATACGCTTATAAAACAGCATATAAAATTTTAACAGGAGCGCGCAACATTGCAAACTCTCTCGCATGACAGTCTTGTTGAGCTCGTACTTACTGTTCGCACCGCTAGTTTTTTCCTCATTGTTTCCGGAAGATGATTCGGGGCTACTGGTCTCCGGTCGCTCCTTTCCTTCGGGCTGCTGCTCCGGTGCGGGCGCTGGTGTCGACTGTTTGCTGGAGTGCATTTTATCCCTTGCTGCATAGTCGTTGTCTACTACACTGTCCGAGCCTCCGTAGGCGGTGTCAAAAAACTGGTCAAATGCTTGAGGAAGCACACCGTTTCTTCCAACGTTGCCGTAAAAATTGGACGCAGATGTCGTGTTCGATGTAGAATGATAATACGCAGATGCATTATTCTTAGGGAACATTTCTCCAACAGTCGTTACAGCTGGTAAACACTCCCTGTGGACTGAATCCTCCGACGGATAACAATGTGCCAGTGGACCCCGGTGAGGCCATTTGGTGGACGGGTCAATAGCATAGTCCCGGAATGTAACCTCCCTGACATGCTGTACCTGAGGCAGGTTGGAAGCGTAAGAGTAAGTGACTGGGCGAGTAGACGGGCTTTGGGATAGAAAAGAGGGCAACGTGGAAAAATCAGCCCCCGGAACGTAATATGTGCAGCTGGGCAGATACATGTTGGAGCCAACGGAAACCCTTTCGTCAAAATCCATCATTGTACCCGCGTAGTTTCTTGCTTGGGCTAGTGAGACCTATACGCAACGCCCACAACATTGCTCTCATTTGCGCGTGCCATTTAGTCGCGTTGTAGGGATATCCGCGAGGCAGAAATTTTGAGACGTAAGATGACGTGGAAATCCATCTCTATCCGCTCCAACTGAGGCCAGGGTCACGTGATCATGTGAAGAAATTGACAGATCGTCTCTGGTTCAAGTTAGGCCTATATATTGACGACAGGGCTATTAGGAAATCCAAACTGCGCAACGCAAAGTTCAGATAAGTTACGAATTAATTTCTAATGTCTGTGATGTGTATACTCAATTTTTCACAACATAGACGATTAGAACTGTGTTCGATTAACTGATTTTTTAAACATTATATTTTATTGAAAACAAGACGCTATGATTATTGTTTTTCAAGCTCTCAGAGTATTGCAATCTAATTTTAAACGTCGGAACAGCATGTTTGTGACTTAAATAAAATGAAATCCAAGCGATCAGCACTTATCGAATAGCCGCAGGCCACTGGTGGTTTGCATTTACCTTACGTAATACAAACTCCCACAAAACACAACATTTATAAATACATACATTGAATATTAGAGTATTTCAAACGTGTATTTTGTCTCAAATTGTTTGAGAAAAAAATGAGAGCAGGATAGCATGATTTGACCTTTTATAATTGAGTGGAAATCACAACGCATGATTATTGCTGTTTCTCTGTTAATTTTTGCAAAACAAAATCATTCCAAGGTTAATTTAGGATAAACAAATTAGATTCAGATAGTGTTTACCTCAGAGTCCATTTTAGACCGTAACATGGCCGCATTTAGACTTAAGTTTATTCATTAAATTAAACATTTCGTTTACATCAATTCACCAATGTAACAGTGGTCATCTGTAAGGGCATATCTTTATATATCACAACTAAAAAATTATGGAATATTCTGAAAGGTGTTGTACTTGATTTTATTTGCTTTATTTTTAACTTACACACGAAAGATCATCTTGGACTCGCACGATATAAAGAATATAGTTTTGACTTTCAAGAATTAACGAGTCTAACAGTGAGACTTGGATTAGGCCGTTAAAGGCCTCACTTTTCCACAACGCATAACCCTTAATCCCCTTCTGCCAAATGCCTCAAGGCATCTGAGGGAGGCGAGTAACATGAGCCTAATTTAGTGCAAATTACATATTGTTTGCAACGTGTGTTTGTCGGGAATATAAAGTAATCGGATTATACGATGCCTAAGTAATTGGTTTTCCGCAAAAAGAAGAGTAAGTTAAACGCCAAAAGCTCTGCCTCTTCGTCAGCTTATAACAAATTCCGCGCCGCGTGCGGGAAAGTTTTCAGCAGTAATTTGGGGCCTGTGTTCAACGAAAACCTGCGATAGAAAGATTTTTATGCAATTTGCGAGACCTGTAGTGAGACTCATTTTTTTAACATAAGAGAACGACTCTGTTCAACCAGGATGAAGGGGCAATTCAGACAACATTTTTTCCCACTGTTTTCTATCCAGTATGTTCCAGCTTTGTTGTGGAGTCCTTGAGATTCAGATTAAGTTAATGTTGCTTTAGGTAAAATATCAGTTTTAACAGGAAAACAAGTTTAAAATAATATAAAGCTAATGAACTCCTATGTCAAAAAATAAATAAATAAAATAATATATATGCGGGACTAAGAAATTGCATCATATGACCATATTGTATAACATTATGAAATAACATTTTGTTTCTCTTTTGGTTTTGTCTTCAGTGTGTCTTATTCTAGTCTGATGTTGCGTCCAACACCCCCTCCCTCTTTCTCAGACTTTTCTCAGGGTTACCGCACAGACTTGGCTGTGCGGTCGACTTCAAGTTCGGGGAGGGGGACGGGCTACCGCCCACCGCGCAAGTCTGAAAAAGAGAATGAACAACAAACGCCACGCAAGCCATTCTATGCCCCGGATGGAGTTTCACAAAGTCGCTTCTACATCAGCGAAATTTACTAAGGCAGAAACCAATATAACATGACAAGTAGGAACTTTTGGGAGGGACTTCTCATCAGCATATTATAGTATGCTTAGCCTTTTATATATGTGCCGTTTTTGAATGGTCGACGTAAGCATCAAGCACCGTAAGAAAAAAAATTATTTAAACATTTTAATTAAAAAGTAACCAAACCGTTTGTATATCGACCTACAAGGAATGAGAGATATGCATATCTTTCTTTAGTCTTAGCTATTCTTGAAAGCCCATTACTAAAACAAACTATTGCTGCTGTCATTTTAAAAAGCCATTTTCTTTATTTAGAAAATGGATGCTCAGGCAGAGAGCTATTGGTCTGAAAGAGATAAATTTGATTACAAATCTTGTTAAGTATTTGCAAGTAGTTATGAGCTACATGTATTACATTCCACAGGAAAGTTGAAAAATGTCGAGTGTACAAATGTGCATCAACTGTGAAAATATGTAATTGTACTTTTTTTTTTTTTAATATGTTTTTGTAAATTTTAAAAGACAATAAACGATAGGATACCGATGAATACCAAGATAAAAATTATTCCCAAACGTTCGAACTTAAATTAAAATAGCACGTAGCTATTTTTATTTTTTAAGCAGATACCTGGGAAGAGAAGCACTGGGTAGTAATGTTTAGGCTAAATGCTATATTAAAATAGGTATTTAAAAAAAGGCCTTAAAATGCACCACGATTCAAAGATTTAATAAGGGTCCCACTTTATATTAAGTGGTTTTAACAAATACTTACTTACATCTGTAATTAAGTTTTGTAGTTACATTTGTAAATGCACTGTTGACCATCCCTTTCACCTTAACCCACCCTTAAACGTACCCATGCCACCAAACCTGTCCATAACCCAACCTCTATCCCAACTCAAAAGTGTTCTCAAACACATTATGAACACAGTACGTACATTGTATTTATTGTTTAATGTAAGTACATAGTAGGACTATGTCCTTATAGTAGGACTATGTCCTTAAGGACACTTAATATAAAGTGGGACCAATAATAATAATAATAATAATACATTTATAATACACACATATACAGATGTGTACTCAAATACTCATTTTTATATTTTAACCTATATAAATTTATCTTAAACGACTCGGTACATTTAAAAAAAAAAAGGTTTGCATTTTTAAAACCAAATGTGTTTACAATGATCAGGCTATTTTTCATTAGAAAAAAATGAGTTAGTGCTTTACCGCATTAAGGATACACATTTTCTGTGTAGTTTGGAATATTGTGATGGGATAATTCGTTTGAAAATCTGAATTTTAATTTAAATGATTAAACTACGAGCTTTGCTAAACGTGTTTCTTTGTATTAATCTCTGTCCACATTCTTCAACATTAGAAGCGTGATGTTTACAATTCAACACTAGAATTTTTGAACCGAAACGATGATTTAAAATGCAGTAAAACAATGAGAACAAATCTGGCGGGAAAATACTTTGCGACAAGTTAAATATCAAACACTGTAATAAAGAATCCGAAACAGTTATTTAATGCAATGTACATACACTTTTGATGGGGTAAATCAGACGTAGGCTTGAGATATTGTGACTGTGGCATTGGCTTTCATTGTCTAGACGACCACCATGAGCTGTAATCCCACCTATGAACCAAATGCCAAATGAAACCCGAGAGGAAAGCCGGCATTTTACCAGTCACTGACAAAATTGTCCATTGCGAAAATTAACCGTGTTTTTTTTGTAGTATAAAGTCTGTTTTATATATATATATATATATATATATATATATATATTATTATTATTATTATTATTATTATTATTATTATTATTATTATTATTTTATAACACAAAACCATGGTTTGCGTGGTACCAAAGTCGATCATGCTAATATTCGTAAGGGGCAATAAGTCTCACAGTACATTCCAACATTTTGATTAAAGTATATTAGTAAAACCTGATTTTAGTTTAAAGAAACTTTTTTAAGTATATTTATTGACATCAATTTTTCCATGAAGAGCCGTTAATATTTTTAGATTTCAGATCTTTTTGAGATTGTAAAACAAAATGCAATAGTTTTATGTTTAATTTATTTAATAATAATAATAATAATAATAAAAAAATTTAAAAAATTAATCGTCTTTTATGATTTAATCTCGTCTTTATGAAATTTGTCTTTTAAAAAATATTTTTGCAAGTTCATTTTCTTGTTTTTTCTAATAAGGATGGAAAAGTGTTTTTTTTTAATTGCTTATTTTACTTATTCTCTCTCTCTCTCTCTCTCTCTCTCTCTCTCTCTCTCTCTCTCTCTCTATATATATATATATATATATATATATATATATATATATATATATATATATATATATATATATATATCGATAGACAGGCTATTTTTTATCCCAAGAAAATATTTAGATGGTGTTAAACTTCTTTACTGTAGATGGCGCCAGAAACTAGATTTACTAATGACCAACGAACTCGCTAGTGATTCAACTGCATGACCTGCATGCGAGCACTTGAAGCACTCATTGACGCTAAACAAGCGACTGGAACGCATATGCACGTATTTACTATCAATTATATATGGCATATTAGGCTACATTTGGAACAGTAGCCTATAAGCATTTAGCCTATATATTAAAATGAACATCCGAAACAATGAAAACAATAATAATCTCAATATCTCATATTTTAATTATATTAATATTAGTAGAAGAGGTAGTATGGTGATAATATTAATAATTAATAATAATAATAATAATAATAATAATAATAATAACAAAACAGTTTGAAATGAGCCCACGGCATTTGATAGACTTTGATATATAGACTATAGCAGTAAAATATGGGAAATAGGCTGGTCTTAACACTGGCATTTTAAAACACAAAAATGGAAAATTGTAACTTATATATATATTCCATATAACTTTGGAATATAAAGACTTGTTATTCTATAGCCTATATTCTTGTTAAATCAACTTACGGACTATGTCTTGTTGCAATAAGCAGAATATAAAGTTTACGCATGAGTTCCTGTTAGAGTTAGTCAAACGTAGCTAAAATGTAGGCTAATTTAATTTAAACCACATTTTTTTCAATATAGCTTAAAGAAAACTTTATATTTTACATGTACGTTCCTATGCGCCTGGCTACTATTTGTCAAATAAAATAACAAACGGATGTATGTAAACGTATCAAACTAAAACATTTTTACCAGCAATTGGATTTGACTCAAATGTTTGACTCAAATGTTGATTGAAACAACCCAGCAACATTTACAGTGTTTTTTTTTTTTTTTTGCCTATTTGAATAACTTGCGCTTAATTTTACTAGCTTGATGATTGTCTCAAGTTTTTCCTTGGTCAATTAATAGTGTGAAACTTCAGAATTTAACGTGACAAAGACATGCAGTCGTACAATTTTATATCGCTTAATTTCCGTGCCCGAGATAACGTTTACTGAATTCAAAAGTATAAAAATAAAAAGGGGAACATTTTGTTTAATGAAACAAAAACTTCGTTCGGTCGTTTTTTTTTTCTTTTTCTTTTTGTAAGTATTTACACCTTGTTTTTGTGGAAGTTAATCTCCAGTTAAGCTTCAATTTGTACAATCGTTTATTGTTATTTATTAGGCTATATTAATCAACACCAAGGTCTACTGCTTCACTTACAAACGCACATCAGAAGATGGCGCAATTGCTCTATCATACGGCTGAGGTAGTCACGCTGTTATACATTACTCAAATCCAAATGCATTATTTCTTGTTACAGTCTACGGACAAGATTACAAAAATGTAAGTATAGGCTATTTACAAACAAATTTGTCATTTACAGATCATAAAATTTTGGACACAATTCAACAGGTCCATTGCTTGTTTGTATCAACTGCTACATTTAAAAAAAACAGTCGTTTTTTTCCAATGCACTTCGTTTGTTTTGTTGTTTGTTTCAATTTCAATAGTCCAATTTCTCATGTGGTTTGATGTTGAAAAGAAGAAGTGTATAAATTACTACGTTGCCATGCTTTTGTTTCAATTAGAGTTTATTAAGAGGGATTTTGCAAACACTATACAACGAAAAAAATAAAAATAAAATAAAACACTCTTTTACAGGAACAGCCATTTTATAGTATTCACGGCCTGTTTTGCACAAATATAGCCAAAGATTGTACATGTCACTGATATGTACACGTGACTGATAAACTGCAGGCTCCACATCAAATATTCCACGAAATCTCATGAACTTGAATTTCAAGCAAAGCATAATTTTGATTCTAATCGACCATGGGAGTGGTGAAAGAAAAATCGTACCACACCGTAAAGAATTACGGTTTCAACATTTACACATCCAATGTATTATTCTTTATGAGATATTTTGTTGAGCAGTGACTAAATCTCATCAAACAACTCATCCTTTGGCCGTTTTTGCCCTGAGTTGGGAATATGGCCATGCACTGAAGTGCAGAAATGACGCACCGCGTCACCATCAACCCTGTGCGATCCAAAGTGGCCACTTCAAAAGCAGTAGTCCAAGGAAACACATATTCGTTAAACGTCTATACTTTCATAGCTCTCTCTCTTTCTCTCTCTCTCTCTCTGTGTGTATTTGGGGGCATCATTGTTAAAAAAATAGTTCCCTTACATTTACACAGAGCAAAGCTAACTGCTACTTTTTAATTTGTTGACAACTTTTTTCTCCTTTACCCGTCGGTTTTGGAACCAGATAGTGACCTGTCGTTCAGATAGGTTGGTCTGAGCGGATATCCGTCTGCGTTTGTCCTTGGTGATAAACTTGTTAGTGGCATACTCCCGTTCAAGCTCCTTCAGCTGCACCTTGGTATATGGAACACGTTTCTTCCTTCCGCGGCGGAAGGAGCTGCCGTCTGCCCCTCCATGGGATACTGACTCTATAGAATTCATTATAACATAAATATTAAATGGGTTTAATGATAAATGCACATATCTGCGGAGTTTGTTATTGATGTGTATTTTTTTTCTTTTTGCAATTCTCAAAATAAACTTACCTGGTATTGACGACTTCCACACGTTTCCCGTTTGTTGCTGCTCTTTGGTGCAGTAGACCTGTCCGTTCCATCCACTGGTTGTGATTGCCCACGGTTGGTAACTCTCCATCGGCAGTAAAGACTCATGTCGGGGCTCCGAAGGCCCGCTTATTGCCTGGACTACTGGAACATCCAGATAGCTCGGAACTGGTTGATATGGACTTGAGGCGTAGCTTGAGTACAAGGCAAACTCCTTGGCGCGTGAGCTGGTATAATCTTCGCCTGTAGAAGCTGATGTGTCCATGTATTTTTCTCCGTAAGGTGAACCAGAGGCAGGGGACTGGGCGCATGTCTTTACACCTCCACCACTCCCATGGTGGTGGGACATTCGGCAAGGATAGTATCCACCGCCTCCGAAATATCCATAGGAAATTGAGGCGCTGGCTGAACCTTGAACGGCTGAGCAGGGGCTGCATTGCTTTCCAGAATCACCCGCTGCAGCAGCAGCCACTTCGCTGGACGGATAAGTAGCACTGGGCGCAAGAGAGGCAGGGTGAGACATCAAATTCCTGCACGGGCTTGGCGAGAAGTTACCTCCTGTGAACCCTTCCATATTTTTGCTGGTGTCGTCTAAACCGCCACCGTTATCATAGAGAAACATGACCGGGTCAATCCAGCGCGGGCGGAGAAGTAGTGACGTTGTCATAGCCCGTCGGACATTGAGACGTGTGGCTCTTTTTTGTGAAGCTTAGACACTGAAAAGGGGAGACAGTTGACTCTGACGCACCCTCGTACATCCAGAATCACGTCTCGATTGGCTCAACATGGGTCATGTGATATGTAAAATAGGACAATAATCAGCTCAAGTGCTAACACTTAAACCGAACTAAATGCAGTGATGTGAGATGATCTGTCAAAGGATGTCACCCGTTTCAAAGTTCTCCAAAAGATGATAGATTCATAAGTGTAAAAACGGAAAATGGCGAATCCAGCTATGTTAATTCAGGACATTTAATTATTTTTACAAACTAAACCAAATGGTGTTGTGTTATGTTGTTTTAAATAGCCTAAATGTATGAATATAAACTAAACGATTTTTTAAAGTATTTGTAAGCGCTGGTAATCATCCCAGTCAACTGCGCACATATTCAAATGTCTGACAATCTTTGTTGCCTCTGTGGAGCTTGGTGGCCAATTAAACAATTTAGGATTAAAACGTCAAAAAAATAAAAATAAGTTCAAAATTATTCGTAAAAATTGTGCCATTAATTTAAATTTAAACAACAGTAGTAACAGTATTTTAGACAAAAAAATAGATTATTTGAACATTCTCAATTAACCTATAGCCTTTTCATTTAGCCAACGTCCCCTGATGCAAAATAAAGCAAGTTACAGATAACAAAAGGATATTTTCACGATACATAAAAAATCTGTCACAAGTGAGGGTAGTGAAAAGAGAAATGTAAATTTTTTTAAACGTGGCATGAAGTCCTGCTGTGACGGCTTCCGTTTTGTTTACAAGTTGCAGAGACGGAGAACACCCCCCTATATTTGTCTGTATTTTACGCGCGAGGCTGACGCGTCTGCAGGCCAAGGTCAAGTTGAAAGTTGCCGTCTTGCCGCGACACAGTGCCTGTTGGCCTATTCTGACTTTGATGGCCAGTCTAAAAGCTTGTTGTTTGTTGAGAAATCTTTGGTGAAAACAGATGTAGTTTTAACTTAACATGGTTTCCTTCTGATTTTGTATTTTAAACTGTTGAACGAAAATCGTATATATATATATATATATATATATATATATATATATATATATATACACACACACACACACACACTTTACACATAATGTGCATTTTCTGATGCGTTTGTTTACTGAAAGTTCAAATCCGACTTTATAAATACGATGACGATGTAATGATAAAAATTAAAAGTGAAGGCATATGTTGTCTTTATTGGACAACGTTTAAAACTTAACACAACAGCAGCCTGCAGAATACACATAACCGACTATGAACTGGAAAATAAAATGAAAAATAACAGTTTTGCAAAGCTAAGTTATTACTTAATATCAATACTGTTACTACAACTATTATATTTATTTTGTTGATGATAATGATGACGATTATTTTAATTTTCTTTTCAGCAAAATAGTTATAAAGGTAAATAGTACCCTATTGTGGACTATTGGGAAAGCAATACTGAGTGCATATAGCGTATTAACTGTTTTCTGTGGGCAGCAATACAATGTTTAATGGACAACGATTAAGAACACGATTGTGACAGTGAAATGTTCCCCCACAAGGTTTTTAAATCTTCCTTAGTCAACATCAAGTCGACAATATGCATTCAAACACAGCAAAACTGAAAAAAAGCATTATAGTAAAATATTTCTTAACACACCAAAATAGCAAAATGATAGGAGCCTAAATTTATTTCAATATCTGGGTGTGAATGGACGGTCCATCAAGCCAAACGCTTTGGAAAGTGAAGAAGTTGGTTGGAATTGCTTAATAATAAAACACAGATTTACATTTTTATATGTTTTTTTTTGCGTGTTATTTTTCATTGTAAAAGATGAACTATCAAAACTTATCGTAAATAACGGTTTATTAACATTTACAAATTTGTTTCGTTTTTAAAATCTAAACATGACGTACAAGTTGTCTAAATATTTTGTAATAATAGCGTTTTAACAAATGTATTAAACGAAATAATTATTGTTACTATAAGAGCCTCTTTTCTAAGAGTATAATCCAATATGACAAAATTAATAAAAAATATTTTTATTCAACTTAAAAATTAAATGAATACTAGAGTATTTTAACTTTGTATCGTATTTCATAAACAGTAGGACAATAGGACATTTCAGAATAGAAAAACAAAATATTGTGAAATTTGCTCAAACAAAACATTAAATGTAGTATTAAAGATAGCACCTTGTTAAAGCATAGTACATTTATAAATAAAAAGTTTTTCTTTAGTTTACTTCAGTGTTTTTAAATAAAATTATAGACGATAATACTTTTGTAAAAGTATTTTAGACGATAGTATAGACGACAATACTTCTGTAAACGAATTTATTTTTCTTAACATTTATTCTATTTTCTTCTTGACAAACAAAAAAAAATTGCGTATACGTAGAAGTATTTATCAAATACGAGTTAAAAATATGCAAAATACTTAAGACCTGTCATCGGGGCGTAGCTTTTAAAATAGGCACACATTTATCTTAAAACGTCAACATTGGCGCCTCAAAGGTTTGTACTGTTAGTACCACAAAACTAAAGAGAAACATATTTGTATTTTTAGGTACTTACATAGGCTAATATAAACTGAGGTACCAGCTATCAATTTGTACTTTTTAGGTATTTTAGGGAAACTGAATTTCACGCACAAAAAGCCCGTAACATTTTGTTTAAATTTGCGCAGCCTCCTAGTACATGAAAAGCGATAAATAGCAACCATTGTGCCTGTGTTTTATCTATTACAGCTGCCATTCTTTCGCTGAATACTTGCAGATAAACGGTAGAATGTGTTTTATATTTATATATATATTTTTGCAACAGTTCTATATTATCAGTATATATAAAATATATTTTGTTTAAAATATCATATATTTATGTAAATACTTATTGCCATTTTTAAATGTAAAAAGTGTAACTGTAGTATATTACATTCTATGCGTATCATGGTCAAGTTCAAGTTGGTCATAGTTAAACCTTTAGCGGATGTTTGTAAGCACCACATGGGCGAATCTGGTGCAGTTAACGTGCGGCAGATAATTATATTCACCTTGTTTAACAAGGAAGAAAACACAAAGCGATGCATGCTGGCCAGTCCGTCATTGCAGGCATGTCGACTGGCTACGAGAAACCAGCCGGAAGAATTCCATCAAAGGACTTACTTAATCCCTTCAGACCTGAATTATGTTCCAAATGGGATGTTCAAAATGGGATGTCATGTGATGTCCATTGTAATGGACGCAGGGTCTGATGGTAACGGTTCACACATTGAAAGTGAATGTAAAAATACACACTCACACACATACACACACACACACACACACACACACACACACACACGCACACACACACAGTCAAGCAAGCTTGACACGGATAACCTTTATACATTAAATTATAGATATAAATAGTATTATAAAATAGTAATAAATTAATTTGCTGACATAAGAAGAATTGTCTAATAACAAAAGCAGTTTTTGACTTTTTATGCAAAAACATTGTTTGTATTCCTTGTCATGTATGGTTCTCAGAATAGTAGAGTGTGAGAAATTTATACAATATGCAGTATGCAAACCATTCAGCTTCAAACACAACGATGCAGAATATTGTAAAATTGCATTTGTCCAGATATTTTTAATTCTTGGTTTAAAGTCATAGTTTAAAGTCTAGGATGCAGTAAATAAGCCTGCTTTCCAAGAACGTATTACAAATGTATGATTGCTTAAAGTTCAAGGACGCCTGCATGGACCGCCCACAAAAAGGTTTATTGGTTGTGCTGGAATGTACACAAAACAGTTACAGGGTGAATGAAAATTAGGGTTTACGTTTTTAAACCATGGAATCTTCCAAAATTGTATAATGTCAGAAGCATTTGTTTAGTGCACTTTTTGACATTTGTTTGATTTTACATTCCATGTATGACCTTTGCACTTGAAGTACACGTCTTACAGAGATATTGTCCCTGAATATTAGCACAGCAAGAATTAATGCTTCAGTATCTTTCTGTATGGCATGTTTTTCCATGTCATTTCCAAACATGAAAACTAAAGACAAAATGAGAGACACAGGTTAACAAGTATCGACCATCTCGAAAAATTTACCACATTCTGGAAACATCTAAAACTCATTGTTATAAAACACTGCAATAACAAGAGAGACTCAGTGATCGAGCCCCAATATTTTACTAACATTTACTAAAATCCATCACCCTGACAATAATGCAGTTAGACTTCAAACAAATGAGATGAAACAAATTACAACAAAAATGAAAGATAAAAGTTACCTGATGCAAAACACAAATCTAAAATTTTAGGAATCCCCAAAAAGTACATAAAGACCAAAAACTGAGTGGGATCTTTTCAAATTAGAATTGTGGAGACCTTGAACTGAAATACCTTGCAGTCTGATCAAAACCGCTCAATGCTGTAAAAATTGTTATTTCAATGTAAAATAATTTGTTATATTTTTTGCTTTGAGTTAAGTCTTAATATGTATTCTAAACTTAGTATTTTCAGCTTAAAATGTTTAGTTAATAGTTGACCCAGCTAGTTATTTTAAGTAACCTGAACTTGCAAAGTTAATTTTAAGTTAAATTACATTTTCAAATTATCTGCACACTGTAAAAAATATGATAAAAAAGACCAAGACAGCAAATATTTTTATGTTGATTTAACTTATTTCAATAAGTTCATTATGTTTCAGTTTTTAAAGTTATACAAAGTTTCACTTAATAATTTTAGTTTGGATGATGGAAATTGCAATGACTAGAAAAGTCAGCTGCAAGAATTCATCTGGGTTCCACACAATTGATATGTGTTGGGCCAATATAAAGGAATAAATGTACTTAATATTTCTTAAACATTTAGGAGACTAAACATGAATTGTGTTGTTTCAGCTCATTTTAAATAAATAGTTTGAACTGACACATTTCATAAACAAAATCCATTAAATATACACAAAAAAGTTAGAGCTGAAATTGCCATAATTATACAATCAAAAAAGTGAATGAAACCATAAAACAAAAATCTAATTCTTATGGTGAATTTCAGTACTTCATTAGTGTTCTGCACCAATGTTTTGAAGTACTAACATCTACTTCATTAGTGTTTTACACTAATGTTTTGAAGTACTGCTTCATTAGTGTTCTACACCAATGTTTTAGAGTACTAACATCTATACACATCTAATGTTTGTCACACAGGCAAAAACACAAACTAAGCAAGTGGGAATAAGTAATCAGTGATCATCACAAAGAACTTTTCCGACAAGCAAAACACTATAGAAAGTAGTGTCATTCAAGCAGCTACTAAGTACCATCATGGTAACACAATTACACATTACTTGTTAGGACAAACTCAACTAATCATGTTTTAAGCTGAGCCAACTTACTAGTTCAAACAGTAAAATCATACCGTGTATAGTTGAATTAACAAATTCAAAAACTGCAAGTTGTTTACAATATCATGTTAAAACAACTGAAATATGACAGCAAATGTTTATTCCATGTCTATTATCTGTTTTTTAAGAAAACACAATCATCAATATTTGCTCAAAAATATATTTATGTTTGCCATAGCTCTGTATGATTATAATCTATGTTGCCCTCACTTTTTTTTGTTCTTTATTTATTTATTTTCTATATTTTCTACTTTGTGGAACTTTACCTATGTGGTAAATAGAAAAAGCTGTGAACTAGAAAATTTCCTTTACAATACATATTGCATGCTACTTATATTTAATGTTAAATGTCAATGTGTTGCAACATTATTATAGCTATTTAATTTCAATTTATTTTTACATTTTACACGTTTTCGTAATAAGCAGTAAGGTTTCATATCTTTCAGAATTATAAACGTGCCGTTTACTTTCTTTTTGTAAATGAAGAAAACTCACAGTGAACAAAATGTGTGTTGAGAGAGGGAGAGAGAGAGAGAGAGAGAGAGAGAGAGAGAGAGAGAAAGAGAAAGAGAGAGCCGTTTGCAGTGCTTTTATTTTTTCTATCAGGCGAGGGCGCACGAGGACAGCTTTGATGATTCAGAGAAGCTTCACATCGTAGCCACACAAAAACGAGCGTATGACGTCATTCAACAACATGCGTGCATAATACACTTTGGGCGGTTGTGTCTAAGCGCTTGTAAATCATCCCTTCATTTCCCATTAGCTAAACTACACGAGAGAACTTGGAAGTAGTGAATGTTGCAATGCTTATCTGCATTTTAATTGATAATATTTAAGATAAAAAGTTGTTCTCAGCAAGGCGTCTACAAAATACTACACATTTCCTTAAACATGCATTTCACCTAATCTGATATAAGGACTACTTGCTCTCTGTCGACAAATAACAGCAGCGTTTAATTATTCTTTAATGACAACATGAAAAAGCAACACGTGCTTGTTTTCAGAGCGATTGGTTTGCGTGTAGCTTTATTAAAATAAAGAAGTCGAGCTAATTACCTATAAGTTATTATCATATTGTTGGATCTGTGCATGGTGTATCAGAAATGTTAAGTGCGGTTATAGGAAAAGCCAGTTTTAGCTAGCTGTCTATATTGCGTCACCAAAAAAGTTTAAACATCCTGAAGCCATGTTCTTTAAAATAAATTAAACTTTATTACGGCTTGTTGCATTTTTTTGCTGCCTGAAACATCAAAGGAAAAATGACGGCCTCCTCCCTAAAATCAAGCAGTGAGCTTGTTTATCTTTGCATGCTATAAGATACCCGGCAGACTCGTCTCCTGGAGCCCCAAGCTCATAATAATCCCTACAATCATTAAAGTGTTGATTTTTTCAACGACCAAGAGACAAAACATAATTTTGAACTTTGCCCCTTTCCGTCTGCCGCTCTTTTTAAGAGCTTTAAACAACCATGTTTCATGTTTAGACAAACAAGAAATTAAAATCTTTGAATATTGATGTAAAATCTAAGATTTTTAATGAAAACGCATTCAATGCCATTTACAACAAGCGCACAACAACAGCATTGATATACAGGGGGAAATAACATATTTTCATATATTGTTGAATGCGGGGAATTTACGAGTAGCTATTATGTTAAATTATGGAAATAACCTACAACAGTCGTGCTATTGAGCAATACCGTGTTCTTATAATTGTGACTAGTGACTAAATTGAAATATAGTCCAGAAATGTACTGTGCAGCTGCCTCCCCGCCAGCAGGCAGTGAGAATATATGCATTGTTGGCGAGGCTCAAACAAATCTAGTTAAATGTCAAATAGCCTGTTATTCTTACTCCTGGCCACGAGGACCTGACCTTTTTGCACGTTACTTGAAACCACTTTGAAAGATCGAGTTTGGGCGGGTGAAAGGGAGAGAGCGTGACTGAGATGATGCGTTAAAGAAAGATGGAACTTGTACACTTCAAATTACGCCAATGGCGGAGAGACAGCCTTCCTCATCTTTGGAATATTCCAGTTCAGTTTGACGTCTTCCAACGTGTACTGCCTGTGTTGGTCTGCGAAGAACATGTGCTAATATATTCCGAAAGGCTGCCATTATGACTTTTTCTTATCCAAATGGGCTCAAGACAGAGAGATAATGGATAGGGTTTGACCATATCTTCGTTCAGTCACATTATTAAAAACCTTGACTGCCCTCGTTAATGGACATCAGTTTTTTTCTCCTTCCATCCAAAAGCCCTCAACCATTCTTTTTTCTCTGACGTGTAAATTATTTCAGTGAAACAAAAATGCTCTTGACAGGATTATATTAATTTTAATTATCAAATTGACAAGAAGCTAATTATTACATTTCTAAAGGAGAAACATATGAACCAAATTCATTCAAATAATACTGTTGTCACGCAATCAAAAAGTGCAGTCTTGTCATTTAAACGCGTAAAACGGACAATAAATTAAAATTCGTTGTCGCTTATTCCATCCTTTGTTGATGTTTTGTTACAGCCTTGAATTCACCTCTATTTCTGCTAGACTACCCCTCCTGCTCTGTTTATTTACTCTAAAACGACGCGTGTCGTCACTGAGCCTTATATTATGACGACTGCCCTAATAAGAATGACAGCGCGTGAGGAGAGAGAGGGCAATGGTGATCCCTCCCAGAGTTCGTGCAGCACTCTCGAGCGCTCGCATCTCACTGCTCCTCGTTTGCGTCTGCTGCTCAAAACTCTTACCAAGCTCCGGGTGATCTGGCCCTCTACTCTCGTCTAACGGTTATGGACAGTGCTAAGGAAATAATGATGCGCGCCGAAGGTAGTCAAGTTGGCACACTTTCTGCCAAAACCGGCTCTAATTTGACGGAAGCTCCTGGAGACCCCCTGCGCAAGCTACCGGACAAACCGATTACCCAGAACAGACTCAGTCCCTTGCCTTATTCGCAAAGCTCAGTGGATGACGCGACAAAAGGACACCGTAGTGCAAAGTACGGAGATGTAACACTTTCTAGCAAGCCTTCCTTGCCGGACATAGACCTGTCAGACATCCCTAACAAAGACGCTAGCAGCTCAGATGCGGAATCAGACCTTTATGAGGAAATAGATGTCAGCTGTACTCCAGAAAGCATGGATTATCCAAACGGACAAGGTAAAATAACTACGAAAGTGCCTTTTGTTTTGTTTTGTTTTGTTTGCATTTATGTTTATTCGTATTTTCTTATATTGCATGCACATTTTATTGGTGTGAGGAACGCGCTACAATGTTGCCTTATTTAATCTATTTGTAGCACACTGCTTGTAAGCCCGATCGGTTGTCAGGACCTGTAACGTTGTAGCAAGATTTTGAAAATTAAAGAGTCAATTAAGGCTACCAGGTATCTGGAGTGTTCCCCGGGCTTTAACAAGTTGTCACGTCATCTTACACCAATCTCCAGCATCTCAACTTTTTTTGAAATTGCTGTTTACAAAAGCAATGTTTAAGAATATTAATTCTAAAAATGGCTACAAATAACAGTACAATTGTTAACATATTACAGTGCACATTTAAATATTTAAATGTTAAATTAAATGTTGTTTGTCATCGTTAAGAATGTAAGGATGCACTAACGAATGAAGATAGGCATTTTTAGAAATGCATACATTGTTATATATTATGTCATATTATTCTGCTAAATATAAACTGTCACCGAATCTCCAGTAATTCATGTAATGTATTTTCATACCCTGTCATTTGTTCAAGCTATATTTTAAAACATGATAGAAAAACATCTGATAAAATGTCGTTTCAATCTCTGAACCTGTCATGGGGGTTTGCGCTCTAATTTTAGCTATTTATTCAGTAAAACTATTTTTAAATGTTATTCAGAGTCATATTTTTCCTAATTTGTTGTAACAATGCAAATAATAATACACTTTTTAGCATTTTATTTTTTTTCAGTGGATAAGCAGTACCCATGTAGTTTATGCAGATGCTATTTAAATACTAATGTTCATTTTCTGTAAGGATTGGCAATGGGCTCGCCGAAGCACGGAAAGGAAGTCGGTGTGGACAAGATTGGCTCAGTCCCCGGTTCTCTCAACTATGGCTCTGACCAGATGCGAAGGTATCGAACAGCATTCACGAGGGAGCAGATAGCTCGACTGGAAAAAGAGTTTTACCGGGAAAATTATGTGTCCAGGCCACGCAGATGCGAGTTGGCGGCTGCCTTAAATTTACCTGAAACCACAATAAAGGTATTGCTTTGCAAGTCCGATTCTATTTGACATTACCGTTTTAAGTAGGCCGTTTTCTATTGATAGGGATGACCTTATACCTACAAGCTAAATGTAGCCTAGTAATCCTTGCCAATGCTGTCCCAATTAAACAATACAATCAATTTTATCAAATAACGAGAACTAATAAGATAAAAAAAAAATAATTACAATTCAATATGAAATAAAGCAACACCAACTCTGAGACCTGTATTTGTGAGCATTTTTTTTATTATTGCTCATTTAAATGGGGGTTTAAATGCACCAGGCCTCATTATTTACTGCATCTGCCTTATGTCTATTTTGCTACAGGTTTGGTTTCAGAACCGTCGCATGAAGGACAAGAGACAGCGTCTGGCTATGACCTGGCCGCATCCTGCCGACCCCGCCTTTTACACCTATATGATGAGCCATGCTGCAGCAACGGGCAGTCTGCCCTATCCATTTCAATCTCATCTTCCCCTTCCTTACTATTCTCCACTAAGCAGTGTGACTGCAGGTTCAGCCACTGCCACTGCGGGTCCATTCTCAAATCCCCTGCGCTCGCTGGATAGTTTTCGGGTGCTTTCGCATCCATACCCGCGACCTGAACTGCTGTGCGCCTTCAGACACCCATCACTGTACCCCAGCCCGGGTCATGGGCTTGGTCCCGGTGGAAGTCCATGCTCCTGCCTTGCTTGCCACGCTTCCAGTCAAACAAACGGGCTCCAACATAGATCCAATAATGCAGAATTCTCGTGTTCGCCCACGACCAGGACTGAGGCCTTCCTCACTTTCTCGCCAGCAGTCATCAGCAAATCATCTTCGGTGTCTTTGGACCAGAGGGAGGAAGTGCCACTAACTAGATAAGCAAAGCGCAGTTGGCCACGGTTTTTTCTGGTATTATTCGGATCAGCTTTGGGCACTTTGGCAGTAATCTATAAGTCAACGCATGAACTACTCAAAGCAGCTTGCACAAAACTATGGCAATCAGCTTTAGTAAAGGTTTCCAAATTGTGGATGTTTTCCAATTTAGAAACTACATGTTGTGCAGACAGAGACCATTTTAACAGGACACGGACCTTTAAATAATCTTTAAAAACATTTGATAGTGCTCAATATCATATTAACTCTAATACATTTTGAGTCGGCTACACCCTATACACAAAACTGTAATGGGATACAAGAAAACGTCTGTAAAGATATTATTGGAGGAGAGTGCAGAAATCTGTCATAATTTATACACTTTCATACCCATACAAATTGACCCACATGCAGTTTCTTTCACATTAAACGATGTTTTTCATCTAGCTTTTTTAACAAGGGGATTTGTTAACCGAGCACGGTTGGCTCATTATTCCTCCTCCACGAACACCCGGTCCCGGCAGCACACCGAAATGTGCAGATGCGAGGGAAATTAAGGAGTGATGTATTCGGAAGGGAGAAATTTTGAATGTTGAATTAATGATAATGCTGCACGTTCAGAGACTTGTCTGCCAAACCGGTAACAAGGCGTCAGGGGATCGGATTAAGAAGCTCCATGCGAGGCTTGCTGGCTTGACGGGAGAACATGCGCTAGAGACCCATTGGACAATCACACGCGGCAAATTGGGGCAAGCCAGCCATGCCTGTCTTACCCCAATACCTTCAACTGAATAACCCCATCCCGAAACGTCTCTTTCTTGCCCTGATGTCGGCTTCACCATGTCTCTGAGACACACAATACAATAAATCCATGCATAAGTAAAATAACAAATTAATCAACATAAGTGGCATTATTTATTGACTGTATTTTCTTACAATGGTGTATTTTAAATTCAACTTTGCATTAAGTTCTTTAATGTACAGTTTACATATTCATAATCTGGTAAATTAGGTTGATTTCTGGTTATGGAAAAAGCGCGAAAATGGGTCAGCAGTGTTCTTATTAAAATGAATTTCATAATAAATCAATTCAAAAAGTGACGACTGCCTGATGTTTACTCAGCAACCAGTGGTATTGAAAATGATTTTTCTAAACTATTAGTGCTGGAACAAGAAACAGCTACATTCCTCAAATTAAACAATTTAAATGAGTTTCTGAAAGACAAAAGAGTGACAAAATCAGATGTGAAGAATGCGAGAATGAAAATGTATAATATATAATACAAAATGGCGACGCAGTTGCGCCTCACAGCATGAAGGTCGCTGGTTCGAGCATCGGCTGGTTCAATTGGTTCAGCGTTTCTGTGTGGTTTTTGCATGTTCTTCCTGCTTTTCGCATGGTTTTTCTCCGGGTATAGTCCAAAGACGTGGTATAGGTGAATTGGGTAGGCTAAATTGTCCGTATGTATGTGTGAATGAGGAATGAGTGTGTATGAGATGGGTTGCGGCTGGAAGGGCATCCGCTGCATAAAACAAATGCTGGAAAAGTTGGCGGTTCTTTGCGGTGTGGCGACCCCATATTAATAAAGGGACTGAGCCGAAAAGAAAATGAAAGAATGAATGAATGAACGAATAATACAAGATAAAAGTACCAAAGCAGCATATCACAAAACAGTACGAAAGCAGCCTTTGTATTACTTAAAAAGTGTCACTTTTATGTCGTGTGTGCCCTCTATTATTTTAATCTGAAACAGTGAAAATTATGTAATAGTTTGAGTATAACTGGACCTCTTGATTTGAACTGGCTATTAAGTAGTCCCCAGGCACCGTTTGCAAGCAATATTCTGGCGCTGTTAATATAAAGATTGGAATGGAATGTCTTGTAGAGACATTGGAGTGCAGAAAGATCGATGATGCCTCCACCTCACCAATCAACTAACATTAATTATCTGGGTTGTCCACGTAATTGTGGCACCTGGAGCGGGAAATTGAAGTTTTCTGGACATAATAGAGAAGGCTGGATAGTGTCACACGACTAAAAGACAAATTATAATATTAAAATGATATTAAACGTGTCTCTTCCAGCATAATCACAAAACGAAAAACAAGTGGACAACCAATTGGCAATTTCAGAATTGTAGTTAGAGCCGCTAAATGTATACAATAATAAAAATAACAATTATATAAAACAACAAAGACATTAATTACTTTAATTAACCGTATAAACTTAGTAATTTTCAAGCTATATAAACACGATTTTTTTATTGTTTAAGATTAAATGTTTTGATTTGCTCTTTTCATATTCTATTTTATTAACAAAATGTTCGCCTGGCCAAATAATTCACCTCCTCCCACACACATGCACGAACCACGTCAGGTTCTGGTTGCGCACGTGATTGATGGCCTTATTGGAGGCAGTTCTTGTAAGTGTGACCAAGTTGATTAAAATGCATATGTTTGGAATAATATGCCATTTAAACAGGAGCAGTTAAGTCAAAGACGAATTTATGTCCAATTGTTAAATAAAATTGCATAGCGAATGTATGGCCAACGTCTAAACTGACAATTAGGTAAATAAAAGGAAAAAAATATAAATACGCTACTACATGAGGCTAATAATTTACAGTTTAATAAGTTTGAGCTTGTACGATACCAAAAATATAACATTCTATGTGCGTTCTTAATTTTTCCGGCACCAATGAGCATGTGCGGTAAATAGAAAACCAGTCCATTTGTTCCACTTCTAATCTTAATTTCAGATTCAACCTTTTGGAGTTTTGTATGCAAGTCCATAATTTACAAATAAAACACATGCAAATTAATATAAGCAGTCAAATTATTACGTTGCAAAGAGCTGAATAACTGTATTGTGAGAATGATATTTGACTTTTTTGTATCAAAGGCAAGGGCGGTACCGAGCATCTGTCCGTTAGAGCGAATCTCAGGGAGGCGACTGTTTAAAAGCCTGTTTACGTTCTAATTTACAGCAGGCAGTTGCAAGGCGTGAATGGACCGCTCACTGCGTAATGATGATGAATGAGGAATTAATGCACAAGTGTATGCGACAATCTGAGCCTTCATCTGGTTAAATAGGTATCCAATAGCATTAAGAAAGAAGAGGTCACATTAAATCAATCGGGTGTGCGTGAGTCATATTCCTGTGGCATCTCGGCGTTATTTATGATGCAAAGGCGAAAATGCGTCCAGGCAGAAAAAATGCAGGCAGCTCTACGATCATCGAGTGCACCATAAAAAATACTTTGTAAATTATTCAAGGAAAAAACAAACAAGAAATATGTAGTCTTATTTGATATAGAACTGATTTGCATAGGCCTATTACTTCAGTACACGTCTTTTTATTATGCCTGTAAGGGTCACACTTTCCAATAAGGTTACATTAGTTAGTGTGTTTAACATTAACCAAATATGAACAATACTAGTACGGGATTTATTGATCATAGTTCCACATCCATATTCTTGCTTGTTAACATTAATGCACCAAGAGTTAACGTGACATCCACTAACAATGAACCTGCATTCAGTAACAAAAGTTAACATGGACAAATACCGTATTAAATGTATTGTTCATTGTTTGTTCACGTTAGTCATGTTAGTAAATGCATTAACTAAGATTAACTAATACAATCTTGTTGTAAATTATGGCCTATTTGTATATGCATATAGTTCACTGTTAACTTTATAGGATTCCTCTTTTCATGTAGGCTATTACAGTTGAAGAATCCATCCAATAGTCAAAACTCTAGCACCTTTTATTTTCCCAAAAACGATTCAGCTGAATTTAATCCAATACTCAAGCTGTTCGAAAAAGATTTTAAAAAAATAATAATTTGAAGAACGTAGAAATGCTACAAAAATTGCACCAATTTTAAGGTAGATCATTTGTTTCAAAATCTCTGCTTATGGCCATGTTTGAATGTTAGCTATCTTATAAGATAACACGCAGACATCCAAATGTTTCAGAAATATCTCTGAAGGTTGAGCTTTTACACCAGTTACTCTGTGGGTTATAAGACCTACATATTATAATTTTCAACTTGTTTTAAGCAAACAATTACATAAACAGCATCATGTCGGTCACTTTGGGGAACTCAAAGCTGAAGCACAAAGGACAGGAGTTAAAAACAGGATAAAAATCTATAGTGCAGTTGTGAGTTCCCTGATTTAAAAAAACTGTTGTCCAATAATAAAGCTTTGAATGGATTATTGGAGTATTGTTAATCTTGAGTATATCTTAAAAATATCTTAAGCATTTCCTTAGTGTCTATAGCTATAATATTTTAAACAAAAGGCATGCTGTTATACTTAGCATTTGCTCTACAAGGAAATGTAACACTGTAATATGCATTTCTCGAAATATATCCAAAGATAAAGAGAGTTTTTATTAATTAGCATAGTCACACAAACACATCTCAGTCCTGCTCTAAGAGACCTCTCTTCTTTTAAATTTTTCAAGTGTATAGATTTAAAACAAACAGATACCTAAAATGATCATTTAAAACAGCGTGCCAATCCTGGTACTTACTATTGTATGTATACTTTATTCAATACACCTGATATTAGCGGAGCCTTAAACACTAGAACTAGATGTACAAGATATCTGAAATGTGTAGTGTCTATTCCGGAACTGAAAACGTTTATCATAAGAATAAAGTTGCAGATTTGAATACAAATGAGAAATAAAACTCCAGACACAGCATAATATCCATCAAAATCTAACTGTTTTAGCATCTCCACATTACCTTAAGCAGTGATCAATATGTTTCATGGGGAAAAAAAGAAAAACAAACTACATTTAGTTTAGATGTTTATTTTGGGAAGGATATTGTCAAAATCCACAACTACTTAGTGTTAGAATATTTTGTAAATCTTTTAACAAAATCATATTAGTGTAAGATACTCAGTCAATCTAAATTATACTGTATATTCATTGCTTTGAAAAAATAATTTAGATAAAAAGGTGGAGTTCCTCCTTCTATTTCTCTTTTGTTTTGTTCTATATAGATCTACTGCAGCAGTATTAGAAGTTCTGTCCAGCTCTTCATTGCCAATACTGATGGATTCACATATCTGAAAAGCATCCAGCCGATCCCTCACATTCTTTATTGACCAATTAGAGTGAGAGAGAATGAAAGAGAGATCAAGGCCAATGTGTTCAACCTGCAATGGAACCAGAATTACTTCTGGAATCACTTCTGGTTATGGTTCAACATTGCCCTTGTCAAGAAGTTTGTTTTGAATACTGATTAAAGTATACACATCTTACTAACAAACCTTAATAAATAACTTCTGAGGAACAAAATCCACAAAACAGAATTATGAGAAACAAGTACCTGCAACTCTAGGTCAGAAGGTAAGAAATAAAAATGCGGTGCTGTGATTTTATTGGAACATTCAGCGTTTCAAATTGCTTATGAGTAATTCTGCATGTACTTCTGGATACAGAGGTATACCTGAGTTAGATAAGGAAACATTTTATGTTTATGAAATGGCAAATATAAACTAGTAACATAATGGATAGAATCATATTATAATTAGGCAAATGTTTTTACATTCTTCTATCAGTCTTGAAGCTGCATTTAAAAGTCTGTCTTTAGTTATTCGCTTTCGTTCCAAATACAGAATAAATGAGTTCATCTTCGAAATACAAATGAAGACATTTACTATTCAATTTAATCAGCAAGATTTCTAACCCTCCAATAAATGAATGAAGGGATCAAAAAATAAACAAATCCATACAAATCAAGAAGTTTAACCCAAGTTTTCTTTTGAAAAGCATGATTCCTTATAGAGAATAATTCTGGCTTTATTCAATCTGATATTTTGACTGTTCAGTCATACATTCTTTTAGTTGTGACTTATACTGTAAAATGAGTGTTAGAACATGCTTAAACGGGGGTTATTTATGTCCTTCACACAAGCTTCTGATAATAATATGATTTCAATATACTGCCGAAGTAGTTTCGGTTACTAAAATGTCATAATTTTACTGACAGGCAGAATGCAATGTCTCAGAAAATGTAATTTGACTGTTTACATGAGTCACATTGGCACATATCTGATTTATATCTGATTTACTTCCA